AACTGGTCGGCAGCAGCTAGGCACTCGTACAACGTGACGCCAGCTCCGATCAGGAGAACCTCGTCGGAGCTCTTTTGACGCACCACCTTACCGCGGCCGATGGTGAAGGGCTCCTCGTTTTCGTAGATCACGGCTGTGTTGGGACGCGAGGTTCGGATAAAGCACACACCCTTGGTGTTGGCAGCCAACTCCACTGCGCGTTCCGTGCTCACCGCATCTGAGGGATAGAAGATGGTGCTGCCCGGGATGGTGCGGAACATAGCAATGTCCTCGAGACCCATTTGGGAGGGTCCATCCTCGCCAATGCTGCAGCCGCAATGTGAGCCCACAAAGTTGACATTTGTCTGCGAGATGGCGCCCATGCGGATCTGGTCAAAGGCACGTGTGAAGAAGGTGGCAAAGGTGGAGACAAAGGCCACGGTACGGCGACGACAGGCGGCGCCCACGGCAACACCAACTAGATTCTGCTCGGCAATGAAGCACTCGATGTAACGCTCCGGGAAGAGGTTCTTTAGCTTGTCGGAGTACGTTGAGTTCTTAGTGTCGCCATCCAGAGCAATCACACGGTCGTTATTCTTGCCAATCTTAGCCAAAGCTGTGCCGTAGGCCAGCCTAGTGGCTATCGAGTCGCCCAGCTTGTAGGAGGGCGGCGAGCTCAGCTTGACATTGGAGATGTCCACCTCCGGAGCAGCACCGGTCTTGCTCACCGGCTTGGGCGTCAATTTAACCTTATCGTTGACGATCAGACCTTCCAGATGCTTGATCACCTGAGCGGCCTTGTCGCCCAGCGGCTTGCCATGCCAGTTGTCCGCATCCTCGATGTTGGGGAAGTCCTTGCCCTTAAACGTCTTGGCAATGATGGCGGTGGGTTTGCTTTTGGTGATCGCTGCGCAATGGAAGGCCTTGCACAGCTCCTCGACATCGTGTCCATCGACGACCACGGCATTGAATCCGAAGGCCTCAAGGCGATCCCTGTACACATCCAACTTGTGCTGCAGAGAAGTGGCCTCCGACTGACCCAGCCGGTTCACGTCAAAGATAACGCAAAGGTTGTCTAGCTTGTAATGGCCTGCAAAGTGCAGGGACTCCCAAACGGAACCTTCGGCGGATTCACCATCGCCGACGACCACGTAGGTGCGATAGTCGGCCTTGTCGTAGTTTTTGCCCACATAGGCCATTCCAGCGCCAACGGCCACACCCTGTCCCAAGGACCCAGTGCCCACATCGATAAAGTTCAGACGCGGTGTCGGGTGCCCCTCCAGATCGCTGTCGATCTTGCGCAAGTTGTTCAAGTCCTCGATCGGGAAGAGACCCGCCTCGGCCCATGCAGCATACAGAATGGGAGCAGCATGTCCCTTGGACAGGATAAAGCGATCGCTGGAAGGATCACGAGGATGCTTAACATTCAGGCGCAGTTGTTGGAAGAACAACACGGACATAATCTCGGCCAGCGAGGCGCATGATGTGGGGTGGCTGTTGAGAGAAAGAGATAACAACATTTAGATCGTGCAAATACGTATATAAAAATTGTTTTCTAGGTGAAGGCAAATGATTGTTAAATCGCGTTAGAAGTCGGCCTTCGCTATGAAGGCAAAAGTACGAAAGGAAAGTACATGTGCTTGAATACTTTTAAGACTAACATGACTATAAATTCTTTCAATAATTGATATGCAGAAATGATAACCAACTTTTAAAGAGATTAAAAATTTTGTAAACCTAATGAAGATTATTTTTGAGCGAGTATTTATGAAATTACCCCGAATCACTTTCAATAATGTAAACAAGATCTTTAAATGCCAATTGTAACTTTTAAGAATGTCTGGAATATTGAATTTCTGTTTCTCTCCTGTAAATAGAATTCGCAGGGAAATCTTAGTTCCCATGCGATCAGATTCCGACGAATAAGATAAACAGCAATGGAAAACGTCTGCGCAATGGAGATCTGGCAAAACTCCAACCGCAAGAAAAACACCCCATTCCAAGGCGTTAAGGGGCTCGTCTTACCCCCAGGGCGAGACGTATAAATAAACCTCATGATATTCAAAAACGTGCTTACATGTACAAATTACATATAAATGTATGGTGTGACTTGTCTATATGTATCGCAATTCAATACCGGTTTCTGGACCTTGAACTTCTCTGCTCCCAAAAAAAAAACCTAAACAAATGTCTCGAAAACAAGACTTGGGTTACACGATCTGTGTGCCTCTACATATGTACATACATATGTATGGCGGATCGACCGTTTTTCTAGACCTAGACAGTTTCCAAGTGCCTCCCTAAACCAAGAACAAATGAAGGTGATCTAAGTGTCAGAGTGACCCGCCAAGACTCGCGTTATTTTATCAATTTTCCGTGATTTCAGATTATCATGCGGGAAACACTCAGTCGAACTGGTCACCTCTATTGGCGTATTATCGGGCTTATCGTTTAGTAACAAAACGCCGCTTATCTCGCCGGCAGGGGTCACATTTAGAGCAATCTAAAACTTATCTCGATCAAAAAGCAAAAAATAAATAAAAAGTAAGAAAAACTAATGGAAGCGATAAAAATGCTTCCGCTATCAGCAGTGCCCTCTTTTTTGTGAATCATTTAACCAACAATCTAGGCCCGTCTTATATGGGCTCAATTCTAATTACATAAAACGCCATACAGTCGTAAATCTGAAATGTAGGGGATCAATCCATTAATATCCCCCATCCCAAGCCGTGGTTTCCAACACTTTAACTGCCACTAGTTGATATGCCTGTATAGATGTACATATGTATGTAAGTATATGGATGTGTGTATATGTCAATGTGGGTAGTGGCGGCGTCGGCTTTTCGAAGCCACGCACAAAACAAAACGAAATTAGAGAAATAGCTAAAGCTTCCAAGGTCGCTTAAGGTCAAAAAATATAAACTTTATAATTAAGGTGAATGGTGCTTATCAGTGGGCACACAGACAGAGGAAAAATTCGCGAAAACACGTGGCTTGGCAACACAACTAAGAGCCGGAGGCAGGGGGAGATTTAAGAAATAAATTCGTAAAAAATAAACAGCACTGATTTTAAATATATTCAATGAAATTGGGCCATTCGGAACCCTATATTGAACAACGTTTGATTCCACCTCTGGACTGGAGGGGTCACCTTTACAGCAACAAGTGCAAGGTGCACAACTTTTGGATTTGCAACTCACAAACACACACTCACAGTATAGTAGTAGTAGTTTTACCCATCTTACCCCGATTTTGAAGCTTGCGTGGAGTTGATAGAGTGGATGCGCAATTTTTGTGCGATGTCCTTTAGATCCTGCACGGTCTTAGCTTCGGGCTTGTGGTACGACATCTTGCGGATGTTTATTGGTGAGTTTCCTTACGCTTTGGAATCGGTGATTCAACGATGTTTGCAGACGACAGACGAAAAATGTCGTGGTATCTTAGGAGCTGGAGTCGATGTCAACAACGGACCGCTGCAAGCCGGCTTCTGTGAACGAATGGCTCTCGTTGCGGCTGCCTCGGTCCCTTTAACGTACTCGCTGCTGGAAAAAAAGCTCTGGAGTTGGGGTTGACAGATCTTTAAAAATCATTTTAACAACCGATAATGAAATATAATGTTTGTGAAACAATAAAATTGATCTTTTTAATGGCTTTTTTAATTTTAAAGACAAAAATAAAAATAAATCGAAATCCTCTATTTTTAGAAGAACTCTATGTATTCAATATTATGATTTTTCTGTGTTTGCGACAGCCCTACATTAAAGTCAAGCTTTTGTCGTCTGCGCTGGAGCGCAAATATTGAAAGATATACTAGTTTAAGAGCATTAAAATAGCAGCCAGATGCGCTTGTTCTCTCGCTTGTCTCTTCTCTTTCGGTGGCTCGCGAACGAAACTGACAATAGCCGCCCTGCTCGCAAGACCTTCGATAGCTCAGTTGGTAGAGCGGTGGACTGTAGATAGTGAATTTATAATAGAAATCCATAGGTCGCTGGTTCAAATCCGGCTCGAAGGATGTTTTCTAATTCTTTTTTTTGCTGATTAGAGATTGTATCATGTGTATTTCTGCAGTGAAAGTTCAATGATTTTTTTTTATAGATTATAAAAAACGTTCAAAACTCAAAATTATTAAATTCGACACAAGATCTATAAAACATTTTTGTTTAAAAATTACAACTACACTCTCTAGTCTCTTGTTTTGCCTTTCCCCTTTTCCCTCAGGAAGAAAACTGACAACGGACAAAGACGTGCAACACCTTCGATAGCTCAGTTGGTAGAGCGGTGGACTGTAGTTGGAAAGCAATGCAATAGAAATCCATAGGTCGCTGGTTCAAATCCGGCTCGAAGGATTTTTTTTTTAATTTAATTTTCTTACCTGGATCGATTTTGGTTCTCCTCCTCTTATTCCAACTTTTGTTAAATAAGTGTTGCAACAAAATTTAAAAAACGGCGTAGATTCCATGTAGTTTCAAAATGACTGAGGCTGCAAATTTATAATTTTGATAATTATGACACTTAACAAAAGCCTTACTTGGCTCAATTAGGAATACAAGTAAAATATGTCTTAGAATTAATAAGGGGTACACTGTTTTTATTTAATAATTTAGCGTGTTCTTTTATTGATTTTATGTGACAAGTCTTTATACATGTCACAAATACAAATAAATATATATGTAGATTAGACTTATCAAGATCAATTTATGCCTCAGTTGCTGTTGCCCGTCCTGAAGATTTAACTAATGCATACATGAGTTAGCAAAATAGTCAACATTAACAATAGTTTCAAATATACAATTGTTGCCTTCGACTAACGTCCATCTACTTGGAATCCAACCTGATGCATCATTTTCTGAGTTTAATATGAATTTATAAAAATAGGCATATTAAATATTTATATACTTATGTCTTGCTATTCGGTAATTAGTTCTAAACAACAATATGCTTTGTGCACACATTTCGTCGGAGTTCTGTAAAAGCTGCTGCGAGTGCACAGATTTTTTTAAATTGGCAGCACATTGATCAGCTCAGCTATATTGTAACATTTATTAGTAGTATTGTATTTTACGAGCTGAGGCTCCAAACAAATTATACAATAATGGCATCTACAACATAAAATAATAATTGTACAAGTGATTTAAGACAAAAATTAGTTAAATCGGTCTACTATTATCGCAAAATTGATATATATATATATATTACACTTGATTAAATTAAATATCACTCGCTGTAAAGCGTTTGAAACGTGTAAACGTAAATGTAAAAGCAAATAAATTATAATACAAAAATGATGAGTTGTCGTTGATTTGCTTGGGCTCAGTCCAGGGCTATGCCCTGTATCCACGCGCTTAGATCGCTGCCGTCCGACTCCATTATAATCTCATCCGGTTCTTCGCTAGCCAGCAAATGCTGGGCAGCCGTCCGGCCGCTTAGGTAAGCGCCGTGCACTGTGGAGTAGAAACTGGAATGCGTATGCTCTCCGGCAAACACAATGGCGGGCTAAATGAGAAAAAAATTGAGTAAAAACAAGAAAGGAAGCTAACTTCGGCACGCCGAAGTTTATATACCCTTGCAGATAGAACTTCTATGAATAGGAATCCATACAATAAAAATTATATATATTTGTGTTAAAAAACAATGAAAAAGTTTTACATTCACAGCATTTTTCCTCTACATCAAACGATCGCTTGTATGGCACCTATATGATATAGTCGTCCGATTTTCATGAAATTTGACACTAAATTTAAAGACTAATATAAAATGGCTATACCTCAAATTTTATGAAAATCTGTTGAAAACCGAAAAAGTTATAATTTTTAATTGTATTAATTTCTCAATCGTTCCTATGGGAGCTATATGATATAGTAGTCCGATTTTCATAAAATTGTATGCAAAATTGTAGAGTATAGGAAAATGGCTATATCTCAAATTTGATTCTATTGAAAACTGAAAAAGTTAAAAATTTTTTTGTAAAAATTTTCCGATCATTCCTATGGCAGCTATATGATATAGTCGTCCGATCCGGCCCGTTCCGACATATATACGAGTGAGAGTCTATAGAAGGCTAACTACAAAGTGTCATTCAGATAGCTTCAAAACTGAGAGACTAGTTTGCGTAGAAACGGACAGACGGACAGAAGGACAGACGGACAGACGGACAGACGGACATGGCTAGATCGACTCGGCTGTTGATCCTGATCAAGAATATATATACTTTATATAGTCGGAGGTGCCTCCTTCACTGCGTTGCAAACTTCTGACTGAAATTATAATACCCTGCAAGGGTATAAATATATGCCGGATTTACTGATTGACCAAACTTACTTTTGTGGCCTGAGGAGTGGCATACAGGGGTTGAGCCAGATTCTCAATATCCTCCTGGGTGGCACCCACAGGTATCGAGGTGTACGCTCCGCCCGTAAAGTCTTGAGACTTCCAACTAGTGCTAAAATTACGAGTTGTGAGGCCAGAATTAGGTGAAAAAGAAATTTAAATTATATAGGGCATTGCTATAAAATGCTAGGTGTTCAAAGTATTTCTTACCACACACATCGCTTTGGCTTGGGAACGTAGGGATCCTGTAGAAAATTTCGAAGAATCTCTGTACACTTCTCCGCCACCACCTCTTGAGACAGCTTCTCCATATACTCCGCCTCCCGTCCGGAGACCCAAGCCAGGAGCAGCGTATCTGTTATCTTGGCGAACGAGTAGATCTTCTTGAACCAGTTCTTGCTAAGGTACTCCTCGCTGGCCAGCTCCTCCTCGCTGCTATTCATGTCCCGCTTGTCGTCGTCCCACAACAACATAATTTCTGATATATCGGCACTAAGGAACGGCCGCTCGTACTCCAAAAAGATCTTGTCGACAGTACCGAACATGAGATTCTCAATGGACTCCTGCTTGTATTGCGGTAACTCCGGATCAAATAGAGAGCGGTGTGTGGACTTTAGCACGCCGAGAGGAATCGTACATATCACGTGTGCAGCGTGAAACACACGGCCGTCCTCACAGTCTACACGCACATTGCCAGCTGGATAATCACAATTGCTGCTGGAGTTCGACTCCACGGATTCGCCCCGAAGTCCGCCCGTGGGAACTTCAGTCACCGTCCGTTCTGAATCGTCAGAGTGCTCGTCCTCTGAGTGCTCGTCGACCGTCTCCAGTCCGGTGAACGTCTTTTTCCGCTTCCAGTGTATCTTCTTCACCGGACATTTGGTAAAAATCGACTGCTTCTGTATCTGGGCGCTCAGAGGACGCAGGATGGAGCTATATCCGGAGGGCAGTACAATGTTGCCTCCCTGTAGCTCCGTGTAACTGCCTGCGAAGGTAGGATACGTTTATAATCAAAATAGTTCGTATGAAATCTTAGAAATGTCTCACCCAGCTCGAGCAGATCCACTTCGTCCATGTTGTTGCAGCCGGTGATGCAGGTCTCGCGCTTGAGTAGGCAGTTAAAAATGGACTGCTTCAGACGCTTCTCTTTGGGATCCGGCACGGCGCTTAGAAAGATCTCTATCTCATAGTTAATGTGCTCGCCCACGCTGTGAATGTCCGGCGGAGGGCTGTACTGGCAGAGAAAGTACTCGTCGCAGCGCCTCAAGAAACAGACGTACGCCTCGTATATCTCCTGCAGCACACTGAATGGCACCTGGTGCCCATCCTCCGTTGTGGCCACCACTTTGTGGGGTTTGGGAACGTTAACAACGCTGACTAGACCATGTTGCACGGCCAGCTCAAAGATAGGATTACCCAAGACGCCGTGTATCCAATTGGCTCCCAGCTCGATCTATATAGTAATAAATTGGGACCGTCAGACAAATTGAGTAACGTAGCGAAAGCTTTGGTTACAAAACAATAATAGCCTTCAACTCGCCGGTTACCATCAGATAAAAACTGACCTACATGATTAGATAGAGAAATACCAAATAATTTAACTTTAAATCCTGTTAATTAAGGGTTTTAAAATAGCGTTTGCCTGAAGATTAGAAGTTGGGTCTAAATTAATAAATAAGGCAGAACATTGGTCAATCCCTTGCAATCACATTTAAAAGTAAATGAAAAAGTTAAAAAAGAGAATCTTATGTTTTATTTCATATTAATGAAATATATATTTAAGACCTTTGTATAGATTTTATGTCAAATAAATAAGGCTACGTGATCGCCGGTCCGCAGACCCGTGAGTTTACGGGGGTATTGCACCAGAAGCGTCACCATTCACTTAATTCAGAACGTACTATCTTATCTTAAATCGCTTGTCCAAAGAAAGTTGTATTATGCCGTAAAAGAAAAAAATAGTTTGCAAAAAAAACATAATATATGTAGAGGGAATGAAAGCAGATGATGTGAAAATTACTTTTATTTTTAGATTACTCAAGGTGCACACATTGAAACTCTGGCAATACGAAAACAGGAACAGGAAGGCTAAATCTTCTATATAAAAATAGCCTGCATTAAGAAGAACCAACAGCTGACCGACTGCGCAGTGCTTTGGAAAAATCTATAATCAACGGCGCAGGCGGGGAAAATGTTACAGCATGGCCTCTATTTTTCGCTTGAACTTCGAGTTCTATTCCCGAATGCCCAGACCGTCGTCCTATATACATATGTATGTATATTGTTTGTAATAGGGCTTACATAACGTCTTGTCGTACCTTCTGATTGTTGCTGAGCGGTATGGACACAATCCGTCCGCCCACCCGGCCCCGTGCCTCCAAGATGAGGAAGTCGTCGCACCCGTTCTGCAGGAGATGATTCGCAGCGGATAGGCCTGCCATGCCGGCTCCAATGATCACAATCTTTACGTTGGTATTGTTCAGGAGTGGGTCACCGGCCCCTCCGTCAACGATGGCGCCACCTCTGACCCCGCTGATCGCTCCAGCGGCCGTAATGTCCGACAATCCCTCCTCCGTGGGCGATGGCGCGGGTGTGGTGGGCTCCTCCTTATCACCCATTGCTACACAACTCTTCTTATGAGCATATGCGAGATAGATTTTCGTTCCCTTCTGTTTATTTATGTTTTCGTTGTTAAAGCTTTTCACGCCTCATTTTCTTCCACTTTTTCTCTGAGTCGCGACTGTTTTGACGTTTATTTGACAGCCGTTTTGCCGATTGGAGAGCGAAAAAACAAACAGCTGATTGAATGTGCCACTTGTAGTTGCCTTGTTGGTAAAATGCATAGTTTGGAATACTAATTGAAAATAGCTGACAATGTTTTTAAACTGAAAAAAAAAATTTTATTTATATAAACTTAAGGCAAAACGTTTTCCATCAGCTGATTTCCGCAGGGCTGCAGGACTTTTTGAAGTAAAAGCAAAAATATCAGCTGGCCAGTGTACTTCTGCGTATAATCTGGCAACATGGCGTGGTAACACTTAAAATTTATGTGTTGCGAAGCTGAAACAGGCAAATATAAAAAGAAATGCTTAAGCTATAACCGATAATGCATACATTATAATTTTGTCGACTTAATTAAAGCCAAAACTACGGCAAGTATGATTGCTCTACCCCAATATGGCTCATTTTACCCCATGTATGAGGCGAGTATTCGTGTAAAACTGTTTTATACACGTGTAAAATTTGAAATATAAATCTTAAAAGGATTTTCAATTGTTAAGGAAAAAGTCTACTTTTTTGTTTTAGTTAGGCAGTGGTGAGAATTTGACAGTAATGTCTTTATTCTAAAACTATAATTTATAGACGTTCTCCCTTCATAAGTTAAAAGCTTTTCCAATAGTAACAAAATGCATATTTATATTTTTTTATAAAAAAAAACACAAGTAGATGCTTGATGAATATCAAAATAAGCTTTTTTTAAGGCAAGCTTCAGAAGCTTTTCCATTTTCAAGTACGCCAGATATAGCTTGAATTTAGCTAAACCGGCAACACTGCTTCACAATTTTGTTTAAATAATTAATACACATTTCGTGATCCGTACTACGATAAATGTAAACAACGAGATATGTGATTGGCATGAGCACCTGCAAATAAAGATAAACTCGAACCATGGCCGACGCCTACTGTCTGACGAATTTTATTGATTTTTCGCTGTCGCTGTCGCTGCCACTGAAGCATCACAACCGTATCAAGGTGAGCAATCTCACCTGAAATTCAATATCAGACCGTTCATTAGCAATCACCCCCACACGCCCTCTTCCGCAGTACACCTGCTTCGACATATCCGACAACTACATCGTTTTTGGAGCCTCGTCCGGATCGCTTTACTTGTTCAATCGCAACGGAAAGTTCCTGCATTTGATCCCGAACAAGCATGGAGCCATTACCAGTCTCAGTATCTCGGCGAATAGCAAATATGTGGCTTTTTCAACCCAGCGCTCTCTGATCTGTGTTTACGCCGTGAACCTCTCCGCCCAGGCCACGCCGCAGGTGATTTTCACGCATTTGGACCAGGCGGTGCAAGTGAGCTGCATACAATGGACGCAGGACGAGAAACAGTTCTACTACGGCGATTCCCGCGGACAAGTCAGCCTCGTGCTGCTTTCCTCGTTCATCGGCCATAGCTTGCTACTCAACATGACCGTGCATCCGTTGCTCTACCTGGACTCGCCCATTGTCCAGATCGACGACTTTGAGTCACTGCTGCTGGTGTCCAACTGCACCAAGTGCATTCTTTGTAACACTGAGTACGAGGAGTATAAGCAGGTCAGTTATGTCGTTCTTGTAGGATAATTCTCAATAATATTACTACACCTTTTCCCTTTCCAGATTGGGAACCGTCCTCGCGATGGAGCATTTGGGGCTTGCTTCTTCGTCTCACCTCAGGAATCACTTCAGCCCTCTCGCATCTACTGTGCCCGTCCTGGAAGCCGAGTGTGGGAGGTAGACTTTGAAGGTGAGGTGCTTCAGACACACCAGTTTAAGAGCGCTTTGGCCACCGCACCTGCAAGAATTCAGCGCCCGGGAACCGGCACGGACGAACTGGACGCCAATGCGGAGCTGTTGGACTATCAGCCGCAGAACCTGCAGTTCGCCAAAGTTCAACGCTTGGGCGAGGACTTCCTCTTGGCTTTCACTGAACTTGGATTGTATGTGTTCGATGTGCGACGGTCAGCGGTGGTGCTGTGGTGCAATCAGTTCGAAAGGATTGCCGATTGTCGGTCGTCCGGCTTGGAGATATTTGTTTTCACCCAATCTGGCGCCCTGTACAGTGTACAGCTGCAAACTCTTCAATCTCACGCCGTTTCTCTGATCCAACAATCCAAACTGCTTCCATGCGCAAACCTACTTCGCCAGCATGTGCGTTATTTTGCAGACAAGGCGCGCGAAGACTATGAGCTAAAGCAGCTAAATGCACTGAAGCAGCTTCTCATCGAAAGGCAGGAGTACGAGCTGCTGAACGATATATCCGTGATCTTTGATGCCATTACCCAGTGCACGGGCAGTGCTTTGGACACGCACAGTTCCGGAGGCAGTTCCGCCACCACAGAGCGCAGCTTGAGCGGTGGTAGTGCAGTGAAACCAACCCCAAAAGGTGTCTACGTCTTGGAGAATGCATTTTGTGACAATTTGAAGCAGCCCCCCAAATCTGGACAGTTCAAGGATGCACTTCTTACTGTCACGGGGAAATTTGGGAAAAACATCATCAAGTACAAGTTTAACATCTTCGCGGAGGAGCATCAACAATTGGTGAGAGAACTTATCCCAGACAGTGAGCGTTCGCTTCCCTTTAAGGACATCAAAGCGCGCTATGAATCGGGAGCTCAGGATCAGGAGGAAGAGGAGGAAATTGTCAGTCGCTGTAGAAAACCGGCTCCTCAGGCACCACACATCAGCCCCGAGGAAAAGACCCTCTACAATCTCTACCTGATCGCCAAGAGCGCCAAATTCAGTCGTACACAGTGCGTAGATCGATACAGAGCTGTGTTCGATGAGTATGCGGCAGGGGAATTGGTGGCTCTGCTGGAAAAGCTAAAGAATATGATGGTGGAGCATGGCGACACTCCGGAGCAAGCACAGCGCAACTGCTACGAGATGTATTTCGACTATCTGGACCACGAGCTGATATGGGAAGTAGATGATGCCACGCGGGATCACATAGCTGCTGGTTTCGTTTTGGTAAACGGCTCAGGGAACGCGGAGATCGTTAGGTGTGAGCACTGCTCCTTCCCACTCCGATTTGACACTTCCTGTCAGTATCATGAGCTTGGAGCGGTGCTCCTCCGTTATTTCTGGTCGCGCGGAGAGCAGCTCAAGTGCTTCGACGTGGTTCAAGCTGTCCCGGCTCTCCTGGACGTCTTAGCCAAGTTCTATTTAGCCGAACAGAATCTAACAAAAGTAGTGGCAATTGTTCTGAACTACGGCATGCCTGAACTTCTAGCCGATGTCGGCAAGCAGCTAAGCGTGGGGGCATGGGCCCGATGCTTTGAGCAATTTGTGGAACTGCAACGCGGACGGCTAGTATGCGCAAACTGCGAATGTGTCTCCGGCGTGGAGCAGGAGCAACTGGGTCGGCACTTCTTCTACAACTGGAACTGCTTCCTCAACATCGCGCTGGATCACATGGCCGCCGGGGATACGCTTGCTTTGATCTTCAAGTGGAGCTCTTACATTCCAAACGACGCCATTGACCGGGAGTTCTATTCCCGCTGCCTCCTCAAGGGCTAGAATATAGATTAATAACCATATTTATTGTTTCCACTATGTAATCTCAAGCTAAGGCCAATACCAAAAGCATTTATTCTATATGGACATGTACACACCCACGATATGTATATTCTAATTAGAGCATGAATATAAACGAGATATTGGTTCTGTTTACATATTTACTGAGGAAATCCATTTCTCGAAATTAAAAAGGCTGGAAAAACAATAAAGAGGTAGCGATGCTTTATGTCGCAAATATTGACGCTTGAAAAATCAACTCATCTCAGCATACACAAAAACTTTTGGCCCAAATCTATACAAAATTTCACCTGCCCAGCCTTATTTCTCTTCCATCATCCAAGTCTTCTGATGATTTTAAGGTTGGTACTGCATTTTATTTCCTATTTTAAAGATAATGATAATAAACAAAATTAAATTTTTTCTGTACGACAAAATAGCGCCGGGTCGAAACAGCTGTTCGATATATATCGATATACTTATGAATATTTTATCCATCCCTAGTATTTAGACCCATATACGTTACCCATCCCAAGTATTCAGACAAATTTTTTTAAACTTATCGTATATCAATAAAAAAATATATCGATATATTAATGTTTTTTTCCCCATCCCTAACATAGACACGCGTCTGAAAGCGAAGAAAAAACGTGAAATCGTCGGAAAAGCAAGATTTTCCAAGCCCAGCAGAGTTGCAAAGTGCTTGTAATTGTCGAGGCACAAGCAGGCCGACCCGGAAAAGTCCCAACGTCAAAAGTTTCAAGCAAACAAAGGAACTCTGTGCGAGAGTAGAAAGAAAGAAAGAATTCGAAAAAGTACAGAACCCAGACATCGTTCCAAATTTCACACGAGAACGCAGTAGCTTGTGGAACGTAAGAAATAGCAGTCGGAAAAACTAAGAAAATTCGTATAGACACAAAGTGCAACACAAACACAACGATCAAGTACATTTTTTTGTCGGAAATTGCAAGTGTGCACCCTAAAAAACGTAACAATTGCAAAATTTTCCTAAACGGAAAGCAAGAAAAAAAAGCAACTGATTGGAGGATAATATGAGTAATGCTATTAACCAAAATGGCACAGGTCTAGAGCAGCAAGTAAGTACGGCGAGGGGGGTGAGAGGGGAAATGTACTATGCATGAAAAAGCAATGTTCGGCTAAAAATTTATTGATTTCATAACACACTAATGTCTCGTATCGCTCATTTACAACAGTGTACATGAGAGGCAAATGTGCAAGTGTGCGTGTCATAAGTTCCTTTTCTTCTGCTTCGTCATTCCAATTTGTAATTTTTGTATAATTTTTGCTCGCTTGCCTCCAAATTTGACAAACATACATATATGAAAGTTTCCACTCGCCTTCTATGTGTGTGTTAAATGCGTGTGCAGCGCCGCCGTTCTAAGGCTGTGTGTGTGTGTGTGTGTGTCTGTGTGTGCGCGCCTCTGGTCACACTTCTCTCCTGCTCTCCCGCTTGCGCGCACATGTGGAAGCTGAGTGTAGAAAGTAGGGTTGCAAGGGGTTCGAAATTTTTATTTTATTTATTTATTTTTTTCAATCTGTTAAATTTTTGTCTAGCCCCAAAAGTTTTATATGCATGAGATTAACTTAATTTAAAATTGGCCAAAGCGGAGACCTTTTTATATCTCGATCCAAAATGTCTGAACCTACGTTCCACGACCAGTCTTACCACCACAGCTGAGATTAATATTTCCGTGTGTGGGTGATCAGCTCTCTATTTTTGTTTTTGTGGTGTAGATAGGCGCAGTGATGTTCTTTCTGCACTTTTCTCGTCCGACTTGGCTTTGTTTTCATGGATGTGTAAAAGAAAAATAAAAGAAAAAAAAATAATGCAGTAAAAAATTTTCTTGGAAAATAGCTTCAAATCTTTTTAAAATTAGAAAAGTCTCAAAATAAAAATTAAACAATTTACTTCAATCCAGAGGAAGTGCACAAAATAAGCTGCGAATTCAATGACACCCTTAAAGTTGTTTTTCTTTTTTTTATATTTTCTATGTTTCTATGATCGAATTTTTATGTTAATATAAGAATTTACAGCAGCGATTAAATTTTGTGATAAACATCAATCGCTTAACCACAGAGACCTGTTATATTTTTGCAAGCTATTGTACATAAGACCGTTGATAACTCCAAAATATGTTTACTTTTTGACGAATCGACAGATATTAGAGTTATAAAAGGATTTGTTCTTCTACTTCGGCTGTTTATGCTTATATATTGTTGATCCAGCTTTTTCTGCTCAGAAAGAAATGGCATCACTGGCTAAGCGGCTTCTTTGTGTAACAACCAGCATCGACAGAAAGAAAGAGAGAGCGGCTCGCTTCAAAGCTTTAAACTAGTTGCGCCTCTCTCTCCCTTGTTATATGTGGCGAAGATTTTCGCTTATGCATATATGTATACACGTTGCGCTAGAAAGAACAATAAGCTAATAGCACATGTTGCTAAGCGGGAACACGAAACTTGGAGAACATTTCCAGCGGAAATCGGAGTTTAGGGGTTTTTAAAAGAAATTATTTTCACAAACTTATTAAAAATGCAATATTTTATTAGTATTACAAAGTACATATTTTGAACGAAAAATACTTATAAGAAGAAAAAATATTTACGAATGGCCAATCAAATAAGGACTTTTTTAACGAATGGTCGTACATGAAACCTAAAAACAAATTTTTTTTAAAACTATAAAAATATAGATATAGCATGACGAAAATTATGATGAAAAAATTTAGTTTTGAGAAAAACACAAAAGAAGATCGAATGACTGTAATATCCACAAATAGTCGGATATTTTTCAGCCAGATGTCTTAAAATGACCGTAAGGATAAAACAATTTTTCAAAAATATTAAGGTCTAACCCCTTAAATCAATTGAACTTGATCGTGAAAATGTATGTACATATGTATAGTACATAGTAGTATAGTAAAGGGGAATGGGAAAAATAATAGCAAAGGAAATGTTGTAAACAATTTTGCTGTTGTTCCCATAAGCTCCTGTAGACGGACCTGACCGGACCGGACTCCTGCGACCATATAAAGTATACACATATGTATATTCTTGGTCAGGATCAACAGCCGAGTCGATCTAGCCTTGTCCGTCTGTCCGTTGTCTCAAAGAAACTTTGCAGTTAGTCTTCTATATACTCTCACTCGTAAATATGTCGGAACGGGCCGGATGGGACGACTATATCATATAGCTGCCATACAAACGATAGAAAAGTTTGTAGAAAAAAATTCGAACTCTTCCAATGTTTAACAGAATTGCATATAATTTAAGATATATATATTATTCTAGAATTTCGGTTTTAATTTTATGAAAATCGGACTACTATATCATAAAGCTCCCATAGGATCGAGAAATTTGAGATGACTGAATCATATAGGTGCCATAAAAACGATGGTTAGATATAGAGGAAAACGCAAAACTGTGAATGTAAAACTGTACCTGTAATTATGTAAAACTGTAACTGTAATTATGTAAAACTGTAACTGTAAAACTGTAATTATGTTTTTTTGTCATAAATGTATATACTTTATATTGTATTACTTCCTAGTGATCAAACTGCAACCTGAAAGGGTATAAAAACTTTGGCAAGCCGAAGTTTGCTTTTTTTCTTGTTTTTATGTGAATTATTTTTTCCCTGCACTCAGCCATTCAAATGTTTATAATTTCCCGAATTCTAAAATATTATAATTGGCACTTTATTAAAATTGTATTTGTGAAATATTTCTTGTTAACACAAATTTTGAGTCAGAGGCTAAAAAAATTACCAGTCTATAGCCTATCTAAAAGGATTATGTTAGAAAGATTACATTTTAAATGTTTTTATGTATTTTATATCGGGTCCCCGATACAGACCATAAATAACGCCCGTTTTCTTATCTTTCAGGTTGCTGGTCTGGACTTGAATGGCGGCTCGGCTAACTATAGCGGCCCCATAACAAGCAAGACTTCCACTAACTCTGTCACCGGTGGTGTGTATGTGCCCCCGCATCTTCGTGGTGGTGGTGGCAACAACAACGCAGCGGACGCAGAGAACCAGGGCCAAGGACAAGGTCAGGGGCTCGACTCGAGGGCCGCGAATCCGCGCCAGGACAGCAGGGACCCGCAGCAGCCTCGCGGCGGAGGCGAATACCGCAGGGGCGGCGGCGGCAGTCGTGGCTTCAATCGCCAGAGCGGTGACTACGGCAGCTTTGGCAGCGGAGGAGGCGGACGACGTGGAGGTGGCCGCTACGAGGACAACTACAACGGTAGGTTCCACTACGAGCACCCATTAAATCCTACAAGCTCCCTCCGTTAGTGTTGAGATTGTTTATTGCTATAGCCAGATCTACCATTTTATATCAGCCATATTTTGTTTATTTTCACATGTTAGTTATACTCATTATTTAGTTTATCTCCATACACATGTGCGCTCGTTACGGAGTACTTACACTTTTACAATATTCCTCATAACGCAGTAATTATTTTATGTGAGAGCTTAGATACATAAATGTAGGACGGCAAAAATTTTGTTACAGTCTTCAGTTCTGGGTTTTATAAAGGGGTATGATTTGATTTTCGGGAGAGAAGGATGGGATATTTGTTAATGGTTCGGAAACGGCTAGTTTATTAGTAAGTTCAAAATTTCTATTTACCATTATTGCAGATGGGACAAGTACTTTTAAGAGACCCATTTAATGGTGCTTTGTGAATTGTATTTGTCCTATGGGTAGCATACGTGAAAAAGCATAATAATAACATAATAATAATATTAACATATGTGGGAGTGGTTTCAGGGATTTTTTTTTATGCATCATGCTGATTTATTGGATTTATGCTTTACATTTGCCTCTAAATCTTTTGAAGGTGGTGAATTCGACTCTCGGCGCGGCGGTGACTGGAATCGCAGCGGAGGTGGTGGAGGTCGCGGCTTTGGTCGTGGACCGTCGTATCGCGGCGGCGGTGGTGGAAGCGGTAACGCTATCGACGAGCAGACTGGCGAGGATGGCCAGCAGCAGCAGCCGCAGCAGCCGCGCAATGATCGCTGGCAGGAGCCAGAGCGCCCAGCCGGGTTTGATGGCGGCGAGGGTGGACCACCCGGCGGCGGTGGCGGCAACAGAAGCTATAACAACCGCGGAGAGCGCGGAGGCGGGGGCTACAATAGCCGGTGGAAGGAGGGCGGCGGAGGCAACATCGACTACACAAAGTTGGGAGCCCGGGACGAGCGACTGGAGCAGGAGCTGTTCGGCGTGGGCAACACAGGAATCAATTTTGACAAATACGAGGATATACCCGTGGAGGCGACGGGCCATAATGTGCCCCGAACATCACATCGTTCGATGATGTGCAGCTGACGGAGATCATCCGCAACAACGTGAACCTAGCACGTTATGACAAACCGACACCGGTGCAAAAGTACGCTATACCGATCATAATCAGCGGCCGGGACTTGATGGCCTGCGCTCAAACTGGATCTGGCAAGACGGCCGCCTTCTTGGTGCCGATTCTTAACCAGATGTACGAGCACGGACACTCGGCTCCGCCGCAGAGCAACAGGCAGTTCAGCCGGCGCAAGCAGTATCCATTGGGTCTGGTGCTGGCACCGACCCGCGAGCTGGCCACCCAAATCTTTGAGGAGGCCAAGAAGTTCGCCTACCGTTCCCGGATGCGTCCCGCTGTGCTGTACGGCGGTAACAATACCAGCGAACAGATGCGCGAACTGGACCGCGGCTGCCACTTGATTGTGGCTACACCTGGTCGCCTGGAGGACATGATCACGCGTGGCAAGGTGGGGCTAGAGAACATACGGTTCCTAGTTCTTGACGAGGCGGATCGCATGTTGGACATGGGTTTCGAGCCACAGATCCGTCGTATTGTAGAGCAGCTGAACATGCCGCCCACCGGACAACGCCAGACGCTTATGTTCTCGGCCACATTCCCTAAGCAGATCCAGGAGCTGGCCAGCGATTTCCTCAGCAACTACATCTTCTTGGCTGTGGGTCGTGTGGGCTCCACCTCTGAGAACATTACGCAGACGATCTTGTGGGTTTACGAGCAGGACAAGCGTTCCTATTTGCTGGATTTGCTATCGTCCATCCGCGACGGTCCCGAGTATTGCAAAGATAACCTGACCTTGATCTTTGTTGAGACGAAGAAGGGTGCGGACTCGCTGGAGGAGTTCCTGTACCAGTGCAACCATCCGGTGACCAGCATTCACGGCGATCGCACCCAGAAAGAGCGAGAGGAGGCCCTGCGCTGCTTCCGCTCCGGCGATTGCCCTATTCTAGTAGCCACCGCTGTGGCCGCTCGTGGCCTGGACATTCCGCATGTGAAGCATGTCATAAACTTTGACCTGCCGTCGGATGTGGAGGAGTATGTACACCGAATCGGTCGTACCGGACGCATGGGTAACCTCGGAGTAGCCACCTCCTTTTTCAACGAGAAGAACCGCAACATATGCTCCGATTTGCTGGAGTTGTTGATTGAGACGAAGCAGGAGATCCCCAACTTCATGGAGGACATGAGCTCGGATCGCGGCCACAGCGGTGTTAAGCGACGCGGAGGCGGCGGAGGACGTTACGGCGGCGGTTTTGGCTCAAGAGATTACCGTCAGAGTTCCGGCGGCGGTGTAGGCGGTGGCGGTGGACGTAGCAGCGGCCCGCCTCGGAGCGGCGGATCTGGAGGCGGCGGTGGTGGCAACTACCGCAGCAATGGCAACTCGTACGGTAAGTTCGGTGAGTGGGACCAGCAACAGTTCCATGTTAAAATGTATAAACTAATACGATTTACTTTCCCTAGGCGGCAACTCTGGCGGCGGCGGATTCTATGGCGGCGGCGGTGGCGGATCCTACGGCGGCTCCTATGGTGGCGGTGCCTCGCATTCGAGCAACGGACCCGATTGGTGGAGTCAATGAGCAAGGCTCCAGCCTCAGCTTCAGGCAAACGTCCTGGGCCATCAGCACCAGCAGCAGCATCAGCAGTCGTCGCCCCGTAGTCACTTTCGCAACTAACACTAACTGAAGAATACAAAGTCGATAAGAACTATATATGTATATTCACACACACGTGTATACTATATATAGGGAACAGCAAATGTGAAAGAGAAACTGTCTGTGCGCAGCGCAACACAAAACAAAACACGAAAACTACATAAAAGCTAAAGCAACAGAAACAGAGATGCGCACCCTCCACCACCTACAAATAATTTACTCTCACAACCTTTAAGCCCAGGAGCGAGCATTCATAATAAATTGTGCAAATCCAACGCGAAAGTATATTACATTCATGTATAGGCAGCCCAAAAACAGGATTCCGGTCCTCACTCCCCATCCCCCATCATCGGTCTATTTTATGGAATCGAGAAGTATATATATTGAAGGATATGCAAACATACATATTACAAATATGCTAAACACAACCACAGAAATATTAAGAATATTTAAGTAACAGATACAATTTTGAATTTTTGTCCAAAAGTTGTACTACTTCTCTCACACAAACTTTTTCTTGAAATTCTTAAATACAAACAAATATATAGACATGTATACTGTGTCGATATCGGATCAAGATGATGAAAGCGCAAACCTTGAACTTCAATTGATGATTTTAAACGACAAGAAACCATAAAATAGTAATAAATATATATAATAAAATATATAAATCGAGATATATTATGTACTATATGAAGCAAAAAACCAACACAAAACAAAAAATATTAAAAAACGAAAGTTTGCTAAACTTAAATCTAAAAATTTAGCAAATGAAAAAAGAGCTCTTCTGGTTTCATTTATAGTAATTAAGCTGTATGGTTTTTATGGGTGCAGTACGTTAGGGCTTTGCTTTATCTTTAGAAAACAGTTGCAAATGTTTATCATACTTATTTAACCATATTTTCCACTAACAAGTGAATTATTTTAGTAATTTTGTTTTCGATAAGAAAATATTTACTTTTCAATGTATCAGTTTTGTTAAGGACCAAATACTCAGAAAGGCAAACGTTAAAAGAGCGGTGGGATGGTCAAAACTTTCTAATAATTTGTTTTCCTCTCAAGAGAACAATTTTTCTGAGAGCCTACCCATCATCATTTTTATACCCTTGCAGGGTATTATAATTTCAGTCAGAAGTTTGCAACGCAGTGAAGGAGGCACCTCCGACTATATAAAGTATATATATTCTTGATCAGGATCAACAGCCGAGTCGATCTAGCCATGTCCGTCTGTCCGTCTGTCCGTCTGTCCGTCTGTCCGTCTGTCCGTCTGTCCGTTTCTACGCAAACTAGTCTCTCAGTTTTGAAGCTATCTGAATGAAACTTTGTAGTTAGCCTTCTATATACTCTCACTCGTATATATGTCGGAAAAGGCCGGATCGGACGACTATATCATATAGCTGCCATAGGAATGATCGGAAAATTTTTACAAAAAAAATTTTAACTTTTTCAGTTCTCTATAGAATTGGATCAAATTTGAGATATAGCCATTAAATATTATTCTACAATTTTGCGTAAATTTTTATGAAAATCGGACGACTATATCATATAGCTCCCATAGGAACGATCGAGAAATTAATTCAATTAAAAAGTATAACATTTTCAGTTTTCAACAGATTTTCATCAAATTTGAGATATAGCCGTTTCATATTATTCTACAATTTTGTGTAAAATTTTATGAAAATCGGACTAATATATCATATAGCTCCCATAGGAACGATCGAGAAATTTGAGAGGAATGAGAATGGCGGTGGCTGTTGTCGGAAGACTGACAATCGCGGTGGCGATAACATTTTTAGTTTTCAACAGAATTTAATCAAATTTGAGATATAGCCATTTCATATTATTCTAAAATTTTGTGTAAAATTTTATGAAAATCAAACGACTATATCATATAGGTGCCATACAAACGATCGTTTGATGTAGAAGAAAAATACAAATCTGTGAATATAAAGCTGCAAATATAATATGTATAGGTGAATGAAATAAAAGCAGGTATTACTTCATTGTTTTTAAAAACACATATATATATAATTTATATGGTATGGATTTCTAGTCATAGAATTTCTATCTGCAAGGGTATTTAAACTTCGGCGGGCCGAAGTTAGCTTCCTTTCTTGTTTAGTTTGTCTTAGCAATATACTTATTATTCTTCACTGAACATGACTATTTGCTGAAAGGATCTGTAAATACAGAAGTATTATTTTGTGAGAGTCACAACTGGTCAACGTTTATTTCCAACCATCCACAGACGACGAATTGCGTGGGTTAGTGACCCTTTAGAAGCTCCTCTGCGAGAGCTTTGTCACCCAGATTCTGGTCTCCAAAGCTTCAACTGTGCACTTTTTAGCAATCAGCCTAATTGAACGTGCAAACTGAGGGGACATGTCAATTGGAGTGCAGCAAACAGCGAAGAGGAAGTGATGACGATCGTGCCTGCCGGGCCTGCCTTCCTCTTTCTAATTAGATTAGATTAGACAAACCTGATTAGTTTGCTCCGGCGTATTCTGGAGGACAGGGGGAGCATGCCAAGTCGATTCTTTTATTTGCGTTTGCCCTGACAGTTAAATTTATTTGGAGAGCAAAGCTCGGAGCTGTTCGACCGGTGGGTTGATACCCGTGGGGCCACACCCGTTTTGTTTATTCCGTAGATCGGCAGGCCATTTTCGGTGCACCCCGTAAAAGCGGATAAGCTGTGTTTATTTCGTAAAACCCGAACAATAATTGAACATGCAGAAGCCACATCATGGTTTTTGGTGGATGGTGCTCCTCCTTGGATCGCTCATCGCCACGGTTATATTGGCTTTCAGCTACTGGATGAATTTGCCACGGGAGGTGCACTTTTGGTCAATAATATCGAGGAATTACACCGATTCAGATATTAAGTTTTCAATTCCACCGGTTTCAGTGCCCGAGGAACTCAAGCTGAGGCAACGTCCCCCGTTCATCTACCAGATACTACATTAATAGTCTCGGAGATTATCGTGTATAAGCTATATAATCTTACGCTAGTTTAACAATAAATGTACAGAGAAAATGGTTGTCATCACAGAGCTATTGGTTCAGACGTCCGACTTTTGGTTAAGAGCGGCATAGCCCACGGGGATCTCCTTCATTTCGGTTTGCAGGCAGAGGAACTCTCCGCCTATGCACATTATCGTGCCGGTAATGACGTTGAGCAGCCACCAGGATGCGTTGGCGGGAAACGAACGGTTGTACCACCAGCATATAAGCAAGTGCAGGATGTGGAAGGTGCAGCTATATATTTGGAGACAGAGGGAAAGTTTTGTTTTTTATTAAAAGAGTTTGTGGTAAGAACGAAAGATCAAAGTTGATATATATATATATATATATATCGTCACTTATGAGTTTCTATAAAAGATTTAAGATATAGTGGAACGATTTTAATGTATCTATGGTAATTATTAAGCAGTATATCAGATTTTGAAAAATTTACCGATAAATAAATATATGAACAATCTATTATGTAGTGTGAAAATTACGAATGACAAATAATTTGTATGTCAGCCTTATGATGAATTCGTCCGACATTTAAGATTAAAACCACGTAGATGGAAAATTTGTTATAAAACTACGCGAAAAAACGTATTTGGACTAGTTTGGGTAAACATATAGGCGGATAAAGGGACAGATAAACATAAAAGTTTGTCTCTGATAATGTTCAAGAATATACATTCGAAATGCTACTTTTAGTGCGCTTCAAACTTCTGCCTAGAACTAAAACACCCTTGAACAGAATACAATGCAATAGATCCATTTATAAAGAGCACACCTAAAGTCCAGACATAGCTTGGCCCGTCTTACGATGCACCACAAGGCAGTGGAGGCCAGGAACGCATTCAATACAAAGGCGCAGATAACGAGTCGTCCGCCAATATCATAGATGTGTATTTCCTGGAAGGATTACAGGATATTAAAAGGCTGCAGGGAGCAGATAGTAAGGTGAACTGGCAGCATACATGGTACTCGAACAGGTGATCCAAACTGTAGTTGTCTCCGGACAACTTGTTGGCAACGAACACCAGCAGGCCCAATGTGAAGTAAACGCAGAACTGCATTGACAAGATTTGGGAAATCAGGAGCGTGGGATCCCACTGCGTACTGCGAAACGTTCCGCCCTTCATGGCTAACCTGTCCCTTATTTTAGAAAAAAAGCGACCATAACAAATGAAACTGACTCAACTAGAGATGACACTTGCGATTTTATCGACAGTGTTGCCAATTTGTCCTTTTTTATGACAGATCTGTCCCTATTTTTTGTTCAAAAAAATTTATAAACATCATCTGTTCATCACTTGATTCTATTATTTTGAATTTTATAATTTTATTTATTATTAAGGAACCTCTTAAGAAAACTAGAGTCTGCGACACTAAGGTGCTGTCTATCAAGCATGCAGAGAAACGCTTTATAGATCAATAGATTGAAATAAAGTTGAATTTCAATACAGCAGCATTAGATGAAAAGTGTGAGATAATCAGCAATTTTAGCTAAACTTTGAACTGAGGTTAGTCAATCCTATTTGTTTTTTTAAAAGCAATTTTGGAAGTCATTAATAAAAACTTTCAATCAAATATTTCCAACCCGACGAAACTTTCGGAATGTACTGCATAAATTATATAGGCACGAAAGTAATATCACCTGGTGCCGAAATTTACATTAAAAGATATCTATACTTAGGCTATGAAAAAATATAGATAAAGTGCTCTCCGAAGTAAACTAAAATTTAAGAAAACATATTTGTCCTTTTTTTTTATTAGAAATCTATCCATTTTTTGTCCTTTTTTTTAACGAATCTGTCTTTTTTTGTGTTGAAGCGCTGCCAACACTGTTATCGATAAGCCGAGCTGAGCAAGATGTTCCATTTAGATGTCAATTTCCTGCTAGTAGGCACAAAATAGCTTTCATTTAACATCACTTTTTAAATTAAAACTAACGTACAAATAGTCTTTGACTAAAGTACATTTTTGTATATTTTTTTAGCGAGCCAAACCGCCTTACCCACGCAGTTGTTCTCGATAGGCAACGATCATCATTATGTCGCAGGATCACATGAAGAATGCAATGTTAAAAACATTAAAATTTGTAAGTATGTACTCCATAATTTGGGGCGGATTTTGTAGACATCATCCTGCAGAGTCGGTTGCGTTCGCTTTGCATCGTTACGGCCGGAGCAACAGCCGTAGTGGCTGGTCTGACCGCATACAAAAACCGGGACCAGATGTTCCGCACGTTTGTCATGCCAGTCGTCCGCCTGCTGCCGGCGGAAACCAGCCATCATCTTGCTGTGCTTGCCTGCAAATACCGCCTGTGTCCGGTGTCTCAGTACCAAGACGACATTAACCTGCACACACCGTTTTTTGGCCGGTTGCTCAGCAACCCGATCGGTATAGCGGCCGGCTTTGACAAGAACGCGGAGGCCGTTAGCGGACTGCGCGACTTGGGATTCGGCTTTATCGAGGTTGGGACCGTCACACCTGCGGCCCAGGAGGGTAATCCTAAGCCCAGGGTTTTTCGTTTATCCAATGATCGAGCCATCATTAACCGGTACGGGTTCAACAGCGAGGGACACCAGGCGGTGCTGCAGCGGCTGCGCATGCTCCGCAACAAGGAGGACTTCAACGGCGTAGTGGGGGTCAATCTGGGTCGTAACAAATCCACTATGAGCCCCATTGCCGACTATGTGCAGGGCGTGCGAGTGTTCGGTCCCGTGGCCGATTACCTTGTTATTAACGTGAGCAGCCCGAACACTAAAGGACTGCGCGACATGCAGAGTAAAGGCGTGCTCTTAGAGCTATTGGAGCAGGTGAACGTTGCGCGGTCGAGTCTGGACAAGAACAAGAATGTGCCAATCTTCTTGAAACTCTCGCCAGACCTGTCCATGGACGACATGAAGGACATCGCCTGGGTGATCAAGCGCAAACAGAGCCATGTGGATGGCCTAATTGTGTCCAACACAACGGTTTCCCGTATGAACGTTGAATCCAGCGAACTGGCCTCCCAGGAGGGAGGACTGAGTGGGCCGCCGCTGAAGGCCCGTTCAACAGAGATGATCGCCCAGATGTACGAGCTTACCGGAGGCAAGATTCCTATCATTGGCGTTGGCGGTGTTGCCTCCGGTTACGACGCATACGAGAAAATCGAGGCGGGAGCCTCGTACGTCCAGGTTTACACGGCTCTCGTGTACGAGGGACCGAATCTCGTTGCCGACATAAAAGCGGAACTCTCGTCGCTGATCACCCAGCTCGGCCATAGCAGCGTTCAGGACGTGGTAGGATCCAACTCCAAGTTCTACTTGCCCAAGAAATGAGACAACTGCTGTGTGCGTAGCCCCAAATTCAAAGCGATGTTTTCATTCTTTACGTTTTGTGTACTACTTAGCAGTTTCCAACCTGGACTTAAAATAAATCTAGTTCACGTATCCTAGGCAGTTTCATTAGCCCTCTGGACGGTGAGGACGCGACCCTCCAGGAAGTGCGTGTTTTGGTTGCTGGCGCTGTTGAAGGCGTCTCGCTGGCTGAAAACTACGAAGCCATAGTGCTTTGACAGGCCCAGTTGCCGGTCAAAGACTACCTCCGCGTTGGCGACGTGCCCGTAGCGAGAGAAGTACGTCCGCAGCTCCTTGCTGCTAATTGTCCACGGGAGGTTGCCGACGAATAATTTGTAGCTGCTGCGCACGAATCCGCTGGACATGATTATGTAAATTTGTGGATAAAGCAGTGTTGCCAGTTTAGTTCAGGTTATATCTGGCATATCCCGTCTGTCTGAACACAAAAACTGCGCTATTATTACTTTATATTAATTATTAATAAAACTTGGAATGTTCATAAATTGTTAATCCGTTTGCAAACTGAAATTAAAAAGAATTAAAATAAAAAAACTTTATTTATTAACCAATACATTAATTTGATAAATATGTTTTAGGTGTTAAAAATTTGCAAAATTCGAGGCATGTTGGTATTTATTTAAAAATAAAGGTATATTGTATATTTGGTATATTTCTGTGGGAAAGTATAATTAAGCGAATAAATATAAGAAATATAAAAAATGCCTTATTTATACACCAATACATTTAAAAGCTTTAATAAATATATTTTAGGTGTTTAAAAATTTGCAAAATTGGAGGCATGATGGTATTTAAAAATATTTGGTATTTAAAAAGTTGTTATTTATTAAAAAAAATTAAATTGTATATTTGGTATATTCCTGTGGGACAGTATAATTGAGTGATTAGGCTGGTCATACTGTTTTGGTTGCGCTATTTATGTAAATGTTTAGCAAAATTGCGAAAAAAAATGCATAAATGTGCGCTCTACCAGTGAAAAAGTAGTTGCGGTGCATCCAGCGGAAAGCCAAGAGTCGTCGGCGAGCGACCGATCGATTTGGCGGACCAAACGCAGCCACAGTCAACGTGTAGTATTCGGGGCGCGGCGCCTGCTGAAAACTGCGGACGGACACGGAGCAGACATCCTTTGGACAAGAACACATCCACACAAAGCTACAGCGACATAGATACTTTTAGGCAGTGACCCCGCATCACATACAATGGCCGAGCGACCGAAAATTTGTTCGCAAGTGAGTATATCGAAGCATTTGCTTTTCAACGCAGCCGCCCACACATATGCAGGCAGGCAGGAGGTACACATACTCGCCAGCAGTAAACAGTGACGCATATCTGGCGCAACGCAGTGATAAGCCAAAATCAAGACCAGTATCTCTTCCACTCTTTCAGCCGGACCCAGCCGTTCTCGCGATCCCCCGGATCAACTTAGCCTGAACAACCTCAGTATCCGCCATCCGCCCTCGTCCACCTCGTCGACCTCGTCGGGCTCCACATCCTCGGGCTCAAGTTCCTCATCGCAGCATAATAATGTGTCTCGCTGCTTTGGTGCCCAGCAGCCACTACAGCCACCGCCGCCGATGACTGCAGCTCCACTGGCCTCAAGCAGCAGCAGTAATAACAGCTCGGCGGCCGACCGTCATCGCGAGCGGATACGCCAGCAGGCCTGTGGCAAGCTACAGTTTGGCGAGGGTCCTGCCAACACGCATCATTTCACATCGGATGATCTCGAGGACGAGGGAGAAATTGGTCGCGGTGCCTTCGGGGCTGTTAACAAAATGATATTTAAGAAGCTTGACAAGGTAATGGCGGTCAAGCGCATTCGCTCCACCGTAGACGAAAAGGAGCAGAAGCAGCTTCTCATGGATCTCGAGGTGGTCATGAAGTCCAACGAGTGCATCTATATAGTTCAGTTCTATGGGGCGCTCTTCAAGGAGGGCGACTGCTGGATCTGCATGGAGCTTATGGACACATCGCTGGACAAGTTCTACAAGTATATATACGAGAAGCAGCAGCGCCACATACCCGAGTCCATTCTGGCCAAGATCACGGTGGCAACAGTGAACGCTCTCAACTATCTGAAAGAGGAACTAAAAATCATTCATCGGGATGTAAAGCCAAGCAATATCTTGCTTCACCGTCGTGGAGACATTAAACTGTGTGATTTCGGTATTTCGGGTCAGTTGGTTGACTCGATCGCCAAAACTAAGGATGCGGGCTGTAGGCCCTACATGGCGGTAAGCTGATCCCTTAAATCAATTAATTTCATTACTCTATGAACTTCCTGCAGCCCGAACGCATAGATCCGGAGCGGGCCAAGGGCTATGATGTACGCAGCGATGTTTGGTCCTTGGGAATCACTTTAATGGAGGTCGCGACAGGCACATTCCCGTATCGTAAATGGGACTCTGTATTCGAGCAGTTGTGTCAGGTAAGGTCTACAAAAAATTATTCTGCCTATGACGACTCCAATGCAAACAAGTTTACTTAGCTTCTTAATGATAACAATTACACGTTGTATTGACGGCGTACTACTGCATCTCAGGAGATGCAATTCCTGGCTTTTGTGGAAACATTTATTTGCCTTTTTATAAAAATAATTCCATCGCTAAAAAATTGTATTTTAAATAATTATTTACATTACCGCTCACTAATATTTAACGTTCTGTACAACTGCTTGATACATAATTTGTCTGGAGAAACCATTTACCTACTGCCCTTGTCTCTTCCACAGGTTGTTCAGGGCGAACCGCCCCGACTTTTAACTTCCTACAATGGCATGGAGTTCTCCAAAGAGTTTGTCGACTTTGTAAACACTTGGTGAGCATTAATAAATAGTGCACGTTGATAGGTCTGTATAATTGTGTTATATTCTCTTCGCAGCCTGATTAAAAAGGAGAGCGATCGACCGAAATACAGCCGGCTGCTGGAGATGCCCTTCATCCGGCGCGGAGAGACAAGTCATACCGATGTGGCTGTGTATGTGGCCGATATACTAGAGTCCATGGAGAAAGACGGAATCACACAGTTCACGGCGAACCAGCAGGCGGAGAGTTAATTACTTTGCGTTAAAAGGGAGCAAGCCATAAATTAACTAAGAATCAGTAAAAAGAAAAAAGCAAACTAAGTCGAAGCAAAGGAAGGAGAAAATTTAAATTGTTGTATACTTTGTAGCATTTCGTAGAAAACATAGCGCGTATTTTGTTAAACAGAAATACAAAACTAAGCGAAACGTATGTAAAATGATAGAAGGCAAAGTATGTAAAGTTCAAATACCCAAAAAGGCCCTTTGTAATTGAATTTTTTTTAGTATGTGCGGCTTTGTGCGCATAATTTGCGTTATGATTAAATTTCCATTTATATTTTTTATAGAAGCTGGAGAGCGGTGGAGCGTAGTCAGAGATTTCGCCCAAAGCTTCACCGCAGCCTGCTAATGCTTCTTATGTTCAGCCAAAACAAGCATTTTATAATGTTTTTTAATGATTCCCGACCAATTGGTGATGCATTTTGTGGAGAAAAATAGCACCCACAAGCGAAACTTAAGCAATATTTTAAACAAATAGTTCAAGGTTAACTACCAATACAAACTAACTACAACATTGACACGTGTTTGCGGAGCGTGGGAAATAGTTCAACAAAAACAATTCAATTATACATTATTTATTAAAACGATTTTTGTAATCCTATTAGACTTTTGAATTTGCATACGAAAATGATTGTGAAAAGCTTTAAATAATTGCCAAGCGGCTGAGATGTTTGAATTATAGTAGAAATTATTGCAGGAAAAATGCAACTTAATCCCATAATATGTAATAATTAACCACAAAACCGACACACACTCAGTACACACACACATTTACACCCGTTTTTATGCGTAGTAATAAGTCGTAAGCGGAGCAAAAATATTTAGCAAAAAGTTACAGCTACAAACACAAAAAAAATGTGAAACTGAAAAATAAAAACAAAATAAATGTATTGTGCCTAAGTATAAACCGAAATGATAGGAGAAACTCAACCAGAGAGAACTAAAACTTAATGTAATCAAAACGCATCTGTCATTTATTATCCTTAGCCTAGCCTTTACACTCCAAGCTTACGTATAGCCGTACCGCCACTTCCTCCCAGCAAAAGTACACATCAAAATAATGGCACCGTCTTTGTTTCCGTCGAAAAAAAACATAAAAAACATTAGCTTACAAAAACGTAAAAAAAGAAGAAAAGACCATGCCAATGTTTTTTTTTTATTAACTTTTTTACGCAAGCGCCAATGTGAAAGCAAAGTTTATTTTGTATACAGATATACATGCATAATATATATATTAGCACAGGTTGCATATAGAATAAGCAAAGCAACCGGGCCCTGCAGCCATAATCTTTTATTTTTCAATTTTCGTTTCGCAAAATAAAATGCTACAGCATGCGGCAGTTGGAGCGGAGTAAATATAGACATACATATATTTTTACTATGCCTAGAAAACATCCTAGTTGCATTAGGGTAGAGTCCTGTATCCTCTTTACCGATGTGTATAGAATTGCGAAAATATTATAAATGGAATACTTGTGAAGCTAGGAAGGTGGATGAGGTAGTCCTAAGACTAAGGCGCAGAACTAAATTCGATACCATATTGCGACACAATTTTATTGATGACAATGTTCTCGGCCTAGTTAACAACATTCCACGTAACAAAACGAATTCGAGGGAGTCCCATGTATCACACTTGTAAGACCTATGTACGTCTCTGATACAATATTAACTAGTGTTGCAGCATGTGGAATGTAATCCCCGAATAACAAGTTGGCAAATCACTTTTAATAAAACAGACGTAGGCTTAACCATATAGAAGTTAAGTCAAGTAATGTCTGGAATAATGCAATCGCGAGTCGTCAATATTTTTGACAATAAAAAAGGTCTATAACTTATTTGTAAAGTAAGAGAACATGGCTAGGCGTATGAATGGTGTATATAAATATTTTAGATATACTAAGGACATGTGACTGGCAAATATTTATATACTATTCTACGAGCTAACTGCAAGTCGAGCAAAGTATTATACAGTACTATGTGTATGAGTCCCAAAATCAATCCCCAAAGAAATTGAACACCAACCACCCCAAAGATTGGCTTCCATTGATCCAAAGGTCTTTAAGCCGTATCCTTAAACTCCTAACTAAAGCTAATCAATGACAAAACTGGAAACACAACGTCCACAATATTAATATTTGCAAACTTTTAAACCTAGCTTACACATAAGAGAGTGCAACACTTTTCTGAAGTCTTGGCGGTAGTCCAATGATCGGGATGCTCAGTTTCTAATATATAATGAACCCATTGGTAGTTTTACCAACTTATTAGCCTATTTAAATAACCAAGCCGGCTTGTGTCTCCATCTCGACAAAAATTAAAATAAGACAAGGGTACTAAAACAACAAGAAATTGTATCAGTCATGGAAAATACAAATACATAAAGAACGATGTATTGTTCAAGAAGATTGAAAGACAAAACACCACAAATGGAAAACTAATTTGTAAAAATATTAATAGCAAATAAAAATTATAATTTAAAAACTCTATCATTGCTAATAGAATTGTTAATGTACTTCTAATTGGGCATTGGCGCCCATGGACACCGATACGCCTGCTCAACTGACGCTTCCGTTGACACAATACGTAACCAATTACAAAATCGAAGAAAATTCCCTGACGACAAAGTGGAGCTTCTCTATTAATATCGGGTATGCGGATTATTCAGAATTATCATTTAATAAAATTAAAATAAACGTGAGTACGCCTACCGAATTATTCGTTGGTCTTTGTTTAAAAGCAAATTCACAACCTTCGGTCTATCCCGCTTAAAGTCAGTAGCCTCTTGGAAAGTGTACTTAATTTTACAACACTCAAATTGAAAACATTTATTTGTCAGAGTATTTTGAAATCACTTCTATGCTGGGCCTGGTTTATGTATATTGACTGGCATAATTTTGAAATGTACGCGACTCGCATGGAAATTGCATTTTAAATGAGAATTCCTCACAACGTGGTGGAACATGGAAAGCGCCATATTAAACTGCAAATGCGTAATCCATTGGCGACGTCTCAATACTCAAACATAGAGAGATACAAAGCCCCGTTTTAGTCCGATTTTGAATGCAAACATCAAGAAAAAGTCGGGAAACCAGCAGTCGCTCGCGTAAAGCCGATCTAAAAAGTTGCTTCGAAAGGGCTTGGCTGCAAAAAGTCATTTAATAAATTTGTTTGGATATAGTCTTGGTACTTTTTTGGGATCCACTGACGCATATAGAAAACTGAATGAGGCTATAAGCCGATCAGAGTGTCCTCAGTCATCCTCTGAACAGTGCGCGTGTAGGAATTAAAGTTTTGGCAGCGGATCGAGGCCCTCCAGTTCATCGACATGCTGGCCTGCATTATCCTCATCGGCTGGCTGCTGCTGCTTTGGTTTTACTTCCTGTGGAGTCGCCGGAGGTACTATAGGGCAGCCTGGCAGTTGAGAGGACCCATTGGATGGCCATTTATTGGCATGGGATTACAGATGATGAATCCGGCGAGTAAGCCTTAGGAGGGATATCCCTTGACCAGCTGTTCACTGAACTACTTGCAGCCTTTTTGCAGTACATGGACGGTCTGTCGCGGCAGTTCAAAGCCCCGTTTATATCATGGATGGGAACCGACTGCTTCCTGTACGTCAACGATCCAAGCACCGTGGAGCAAATCTTTAATTCGACGCACTGCACCAATAAGGGCGATCTATACCGATTCATTAGCTCGGCTATAGGTGACGGACTTTTCACGTCCAGTTCGCCCCGTTGGCACAAGCACCGCCGCCTCATTAATCCCGCCTTTGGTCGCCAGGTTCTCAGCAATTTCCTGCCCATCTTCAATGCCGAGGCGGAGGTACTACTGCAGAAACTGGACCTAGAAGGTGTGCAGCATGGCAAGAGGTTGGAGATCTATCAAATTCTCAAGAAAATCGTTTTGGAAGCTGCTGGCCGTGAGTTTGTTATTCGATTCTTTTCTTGATTCATTAACGACAACACTTGCAGAGACCACCATGGGTAGGACAATGAATTTTCAGCACGATGGTTCTATTGCTATTTTTGAAGCTTATAACGGGTAAGTAAAGGTGTTAGGGATCGATACATTGCATTTTTCATATAAAATCAACAGGATATTGCTTATAGTGTAAAGTTACATATTCAGTACCTATATTACTTTTACTGAAAAAGTTGTTCTCCGATTTTTATAAAAATTTAATTAAAATACAAAAAAGTATAATTACTTACCGATTCTGCTATGACTATGAGGTTTCTTAGCTAGAGTTCCGAAACATATGTGTATTCTTGTTTTATAACATGATCTTGTGAAGGCATAAAAGTCTTGATTTATGTGGGTTATCTGACTAAAGTCTGTATTAATGTAACAAATCGGCTGAAAAGTCCCGGGCCTAACATATAAATCGCGTTTTTTTTATTGCAGTTAATTTTTTTTAGTTAATACAATCTTTCATAGGACAGCTGTTAAAATTTCATGATATTCTACTCATTAGTTTGTGAGTTATTATGTTATGAGTGACGCTACTTTTTGTATTTTCAAAAAAATGGATCAAACACAATTTTGTGTTTTGATTTAACACTGATTCTTGATGGGAAAACATACCATTCAAGGAAAGCATTGGCTTGAAAAGTGTTATGGGGACTTCGCTCTATAAAAAAAAAAAACAATAAAACGTTGGTTTGCTGACTTTAAACGTGGTCTTAGAGACACTGAAGATGTAGAACGCAGTGTACGTCCAAATGAGGAGGTAACACCGAAAAACATCAAAAAAATCCACAAAATCGTTTTGAATGATCAAAAAGTGATGTTGCGTCAGTTAGCTGACATCGTAAAGATATCAAAAGAATTTTTTAGATTTATATTGCATGAGCATTTGACTATGATAAAGCTCTTCTCAAAATGGGTGCCGCGTTTGCTCACATCAAGACAACGCACCGTGTCACAAGTCAATCAAAAGAATGGCAAAGACTACATGAATACAACTTCGAATTGCTCCCAAATCCACTATATTCTCAAGATTTGGATCCCAGGGACTACTGGCTGTTCGCAGACCTGAAAAAATGCTCGCCGGTAAGAAATTTTCCACCAATGAAGAGGATATCACGAAAATGGAGGCCTATTTTGAGGCAAAAGAAAAATCGTTCTACAAAAGTGGTTAAAATGTTAGAGCGGCGCTAGAATGATTGCTTTGTTCTAGATAAAGATTAATTTGATAAATAAAGTAAATTTTAAACCAAAACAAGAAAGAAAGCTAACTTCGGCACGCCGAAGTTTATATACCCTTTCAGATAGAACTTCTATGAATAGAAATCCATACAAATTATTTATATTTGTGTTAAAAAACAATGCAGTATTACCTGCTTTCATTTAATTTACCTATACATATTATATTTGCAGTTTTACAGTCACAGATTTGCATTTTTCCTCTACATCAAACGATCGTTTGTATGGCACCTATATGATTTAGTCGTCCGATTTTCATGAAATTTGACACAAAATTTAAGACTAATATAAAATGGCTATACCTCAAGTTTGATGAAAATCAAATTTTATGCAAGATTGTAGAGTATAGTAAAATGGCTATATCTCAAATTTGATCCAATTCTATTGAAAACTGAAAAAGTTAAACATTTTTTTGTAAACATTTTTCGAACATTCCTATGGCAGCTATATGATATAGTCGTCCGATCCGGCTCGTTCCGACATATATACGAGTGAGAGTATATAGAAGGCTAACTACAAAGTTTCATTCAGATACCTTCAAAACTGAGAGACTAGTTTGCTTCTGACTGAAATTATAATACCCTGCAAGGGTATAAAAACCGCGTTTTCTATGTTAGGCCCGGGACTTTTCAGCCGATGTGTTATTCTGAGTATCTTGCAGTTTGACTAATGGGAATTTACGAAAAGTTTATATAGGAACATTTTAACACTTCTGTCATCCGTTAACACCACAACTATTTTTTTTGTTAAATACTTAATATTTAATTACGATTTATATCTTTTTAATGAACTTCGGTTGTCTTTTTATCGATACTAATACTTCTTTTTAATTAACACTAAAGGTCTGTGGTTTAATAAATTTATACATTATATTGATTTTATTTAAAGCTTGACTGAAGTGTGTGTCAAACGGATGCTATCGCCCTGGCTTTATCCGGGACTCATCTATCGACGATCCTGGCTCTTTGGGCAGCAGCAAAAGGTGGTTGGCATACTTTTTGGATTTATAGAACAGGTAAGATTTTCGCTTAGTGCCTTGTACCATTATTTTCAAATCTCCTTCTCCGTCAGCTTCTCGAGCCGATTGTCTCGGTGGTGGCTTCTGACGCCAGCCCGGAACAACAGCATTCAGAGACGAGGGGCAATTCCAAGGCTATTTTCATCGAACAAGTGAGGGAGCATGTGGAACGCGGACAGCTGAGTTGGCAGGACGTGAGAGATGAGGCCAATGTGACAATAGCAGCGGTAAGTGATCATGCCAAAGCGATTCTCAGCAGACGTGAATAAAAACTGCGAACAAAATTGCCACAATCTGCAGGTTGAATGTTAATTTACCTCCCTACTCTTAGACTTTCGAAACCACATCGACGGCACTATACTTTACGATTCTCTGTTTGGCCATGCACGCGGGCTACCAGGAGAAGCTCCACGAGGAGTTGGTCAGGGAGCTGCCGCCCACTGGCTACGTTTCCCTGGAGCAGCTGCAAAGACTTGACTACACCGAAATGGTGATCAACGAGGCCATGCGATTGTTTGCTCCTGTGCCGATGGTCCTGCGATCGGCGGAACAGGATTTGCAACTGCGACGGGACGACGGCGAGTTTGTGATCCCTCGAGGAACGCAGATCGGGATCGATATTTACAATATGCAGCGCGATGAGCGGGTGTGGGGTCCTCTGGCCCGAACCTATAATCCAGAGGCTCATTTTGGAGCAGACGCTCCACAGAGGCATGCCTTCGCCTTCGTCCCGTTCACGAAGGGATTGCGCATGTGCATTGGCTATCGATATGCCCAGATTCTGATGAAGCTTCTGTTGGCCAAAATATTTTACAGCTATCGCATCAGCACAGAGGCACGGTTGGAGGAGCTTCTGGTGAAGGGAAATATCTCCCTTAAGCTCCAAGATTATCCACTGTGTCAAGTGAGCCGACGATAATTGAGGAGCTAGAGGGGCGGCCAACTTGTTGCTGTAATTTTTCAATTAAAAGTGTCATTTTTGTTGCATTTTCCGTGCGTCGGAAATTGAGTTTTCTTCACTTTTGCTTTAACGAACCGCTTTGGCTGGTCCAAATTGCCAGCTTGCAAATGGTTATAATGGATTTTAGCTTGCACTTGTTCTCATCCCTGCCCACTGGTCTGCAGCATACGATGTGTATAAGTAACTAAATTAATTTATCCCCAAAGATGTCGGAAACATGTGTAAATTTGCAAGATATTGTCACTGGTATGGAAGGGAAATTTGTAGAGGCATCTCACAAAGGAATACTGTTGATACCTTGAATTTGAATAAATCATCTATAGCCTAGGAATTTTTAGGTTATTTTTGATATTCTTTTACATAGGAACAATTTTTAATTTATTTTATTTATATGTAAGTGTAAAAATATACATTATGCTACGTATATTTTATATTTCTCCCTCGCTCCCGAGCAAAACTCAGACTTGACGCATGGACCGTAAGACCTTCGATAGCTCAGTTGGTAGAGCGGTGGACTGTAGATAGGGAGTTAATAATAGAAATCCATAGGTCGCTGGTTCAAATCCGGCTCGAAGGATTTTTTTAGAAACTACATATATTTTTTTTTTATATTTTGGTAAGGTTTAAATTCGAATTGTATTTTATTATATATTATATATATGTGTATATATATATATATATATATATATATATATATATATACACACATATATATATATATATATATATATTATATATTATATTTCCTGGAAAAAATTGTCTCTTCCTGCCATAATTCAAGTTTTAAAGTACGATTGCAGAAATATACAACTACACTTTCTTGGCGCTTAATAATTTATTTTCCCTTAAATTTATGTATAAGAATGTTAATTTTCATTGAAAATACTGTAATATGGTCTTTATTTTCTAAAATGATCTGCTGATAAAGACCATATGACAGATCTCAGAAATTTTCCTTTGGAATAAACATTGAAATCCGTTAAATCCGTTGTACAAATATGACAATAAATTAAGAAATATATATTTGTTGCCTATTATTTAGAAATTTTAGGACAAAACAATTCGTCTATTATACATTGTAAAGATATATAACATTTGTGTAAGTTTTTATATTGTATTTTAGCCAAAATGATCTTTTAAACTTGAAAATAAATAATAATTATGTCTAAGAAAGCTGGCTATACAAATAAATTAACTTCAATTATCATTATCTTTATGTTTTTTTTTAAATATGTGGAATTAAAAAAATACCTACTTTTCTTGAAATCATGTTTAAAAACATTTGTGATTTTATCACTAATTTTTTTTAAATATGAAATTACTATTATTTTTTCCACCACTGTAAGTAATCTATACGTAATGCCTCAAAAAACAAGAGCAGTCGACCTTGCCTTGATAAGATTGTTAAATTACCTATTTATTTGACCGATATTGTTCGTAAATAATATATGTGAAGAGGGAGCGTCTCAAGCAACAGCTAAAAATAGAGTACTACCGTACGCTGTCTTCTCTCTCTCTCTCTCTCTTTCTCTATCTCTCTTGGGAGCCAAGTGGACAATGGGAAGTTTTCCGTCAGACCTTCGATAGCTCAGTTGGTAGAGCGGTGGACTGTAGATGGCAAAGCAAGCATTAGAAATCCATAGGTCGCTGGTTCAAATCCGGCTCGAAGGATTTTTTGTTATATTTTTTCCTATATATAAAAATTTATTAGTTAAATTTTTTTTTTTTATTTACATATAAATGTACATTTTAAATGTATGTTTTCTTATCTAAAGTCGGTCTTATGTTAAAATATACCTCAAATGGAATTTCAGTCCACATATAACAAAGTATACATTTTTCCCTATTTTAAATTAGTAATAATTAATTCTTTTTGATTCAGCTGTGAACGATGTGATGATGCCAAGTCAAATGTAAGTATAGACTGCTGGTCAACTGTATTTATGGTCGTATTAAATAACTTAATCATTGACTTGCTGCAAATACAATTTATCAACACTTTGCCAAGGTAATAATTCTATTTTGCACCCCACCTTCTCAGCCTTTGGTCCTTCCCTCAACTCTGGACGCCTGTCAAACGAATAGATTGCTGTCTGGGCGACCAGCCTCCAGCTACCATTTCACTTCAAGCTTCGCTGCCTGCAACGAAATATGCATAATTCAATAGCAGAAGCTGCGTCCTTGTCGACGTGAATCCTGCGGAATAAGGAGGGAAACTCTCGGGACGAAGCTGAAAAGTATGCAATAAGCGATTGCGACTCGTTAACTTTTCAAAGTACAGCAAGCCCAGGCGAGGGTGTTAGTTATACATAAGCACAGCTGAGGTCAGATTAATAGTAATCATCAAATTGATTAAAATGTATTATTATATTAAATTCAATTTCATATAGTTTGTCATGTCTTTATAAATGTATTTCAACTTAGATGCTTCTAAAGTTAATCAACTTTGAAATAATGCCTGTTTTAGTAATCAATACCCATAGGCCCTAAGATATATGAACTTAACTCAGGCACAATAATGTATGTACATATATATGTTATGTATATTTAATTATATATTTGAATTTGAATTTTTTTAACTTAATTTTTGAACTTATATTTTCCAAGTCGATCACAGTAATCTTTTTGAGAGTCTTTAGAAATATTGATCTTTGAGTGGGAGATTTTGAGTAAAATATCTCGTCGAACCAAATGGTACATAAGAGTGATAAATATTTCGAATGTTGAATTCTTTAAAAACTGTATGTTTAATTAATTGCAATATAATGTATCAAAACAAAGATATTTCACAAAATTTATAATTACTATTAACTTCAACTCAGCTGTGTAAATTTCATTTTCGGAAACACTCGCGATGTGGAGGGTTGTGTAATCACAACATTAATCTAATACGCGTGTTTAGTGCGGCCTGGCGGGCATCCTACTTAATAATAGCTTTCCCAGCGCCTTGCAGTAAGTAATTAAATCATTTACAACAAATCAAACTGACGTTGAACAGGAGGAGCACCGAGCACCGGGCACCGAGCAGCGAGCTTCTTAAGCAAATAGTCGCCAGGGTCCTTGGTCTGGCTTATTATTAATGAGAAAAACTTTTGCAAGTTTTCAATTAGTTATGCGTCCCCTCCGGCAAATGCCTCCCTCCTTTCATTCACCATCCTCCATTCGGCGTGGTCCTGGAGAATAATCAAGACAAACGCAGGCTCATAATAAAATATTTAGCTGGATTTCCTTGGCCAGTCGCCTTAATTGACTAGCCACCAGTTATTAGTATAACAAGCCAGGACGTTGCCTTTATTTAACTCGGATTCGGATATGGATTCGGTTGATTATAGTGCTGCTAGGGCAAGTCCCTTGGATGGAATTGGGCTTGGCCAAATCCGACCCGACAGCCTGCATAATGTGATTAATTGAATATAATGGGGAGCAGGTGGTCGGATGCCAAGACTGGCCACAGCTTGGATGTGCTTCCCACATAACCTGCTTACCTGTTCACCTGCTCACCTGTTGGGTGCTCGAGGTTGCAGTCAAGGTCTCCGCTTTCCGCGTCAACTGACTTCCTCAATCGCAGACCGATGGCTTTTGTTCACCTGCATACCAAATCCGATTTTAATGAGCGCACATTTCGAGCCCTAATTGGATGCGACCTCAACAAGGAATATAAATCGTGGTTCCACTTTAGTGGCATTAGCCATAATGCTGAATTAGAGGAATACATAGATTTAAGTGGAAAATATACGTCATGTCAAGATTGAATGTCACAAGCTAAACTGCCTTGAATAAAGGTTTCTTTTGTTTAATCTTTAGATACCAAAGGCAATCCATAGCCATTTATCAAAGCTTGCTCCTCGACACCTTTAACCCCTAACCGAAGTTCCTCGGATTCCAGCTGAACCACAAATCAGGTAAAACACTTGCTCGAGCCTTGACAATGCAGCGACTTGTGGTGTGTGTGTTTGGACGGGTTTTTGTTTGTCTTAATTACAGTATAGCATTTCTGAAGGCACCCGCAGGAGCATGGTGGCTGCTGGGCCAATAAACAAAACCCAACTCTAAGCCGGGACTGGGCGTCGGGGATTCCCACCCCGGAAAACCGCATTAACAAGCAGCTGTTGATGCCGCTGCAGATCCTAGCTGTAATTAAGTTTACTCCCGTTTTACGGGACACGCGCAAATCCCGGCCACATTTACTGGCACAACAAACCACAGAGTGAGGCAACTGCGATGGGGCCTCATCAATGTGTTAATGCTAATTGTTATTGTAGTTCGGGAAAGGGGCGTGCGAAAGCTGAAAGTGCCCCCATCGCTTACCTCAAATTGAATTAGCCTCATATGTGGCCTGTCAGTTGAGACAGTTAGCAACTTCGCAACTCAATTTGGCAGGTCGGAAAGTTTAGTTTGCAGTTGCCCAAATGAAAAAGGAGCCGCATGCCGTCGGGCAGCTTACCCTACTTGGGACACTTTGATCGGGCGGGAAGGCGGCCCAACTTCATACATATTTGTGGGGGCCAAACGAACGACGCCAAACGAAATCACAGCCAAAAATATTTAACAAAATTGCATTAGAAACTTTTCTGCCAGGCAGCGCAAAATTGCCGAACAAAACGTCCCGACAAAGTGGAGCAAATTCTAGCCTTCGAGGGATGTCAGCCATTCGAGCTGGAGAGAAGTGGGCAGCACTTGTTCTACGGCACTTTGGGCACATCATATCAGTTCCAAACCTAACTTAAAGTTTAAAGAATCCGACATATTGTTGCTCTCCTCCGTACACAGAGTTAACCCCCTGACAACCAAGTAAGAGTAAATTTTACAATATAAATTTGGCACCTTAAACTGATTGAAGTTTAATTGTTAATGAATATCATATTTTATCTATAGAATTTTAAAGTAACTTTAAATATTTTTGACTAATAAATTTTGACATTTAAAAAAGTGACAAATCTTCAAAACGTGTTTAAAATTAACAAAATGCTTTTATTTCTTCCTTATAATTCTCGTTTAACTTAAAGTTTAAGTTAAAGGAAATCAGAAATCGATTACTGTGCTAGCTAAAAATTATTTAAAAAATAATTTATTACAAATTTAAAAATGAAATATAATATTAAATCAGGTTTAAAATGTTACATTCAGGATATATTTCTTAAAGGGTTAATTGGCCCGTCGATTAATAAGTTCCATCTGCCTCGTCCTGAAGAAAGTTTTTGCTTGTTGTTTGACAAATTGTTTTTTACAGAGACCGTAGGAAATAAAGGGAAACACTCGAATGGAGTAAAAGGATCGACGGGTGGGTGGAAGGATAACAGACACAGGACCTGGCCATCAATGTGTAATGAATTTGGGCGGGGGATACGAAGCGAGGGCAAAGTTTAAAGCGCGAACAAGAGGGGCAAAAACAATGACAAGCATTGCCAGGAGCCAGAGTTGTTCCGATCCTGTTCCTGTTTCCTTTTTCACCATTTCACATTTCCATTTCGTTGTTCAACACCCTTTCCATACCTCTTTCTGATGTAATATCTGGCCACCAAATTTTTGTTAAAACGATCAAAACATATTATTTAATATTGTACAAATAAATAGAAGAATAATAATTATCAATCAAGGGATAACAAGATAATAACTATATTATTGCAACAGAGTGTAAGTTATTCAATTGGAATATAAAATGACCATTAAGTGTATATTCCATGCTTATTTCATTTTGATATATAAGAAATATCCCCTGACAGCGTATGCCAGTCGTCGGCTACCAAGCGAAACCTCTTTCTTCCTTCACTGTCAGTGGGGAAACTTTTTGCCGCTCACTGTTTACCGTCGTCCTGCGGCTGCAGCGGCGCATAAATTAGCAAACATGGGGCGTGCGAAGCGAGCGAATGCCCGGAACTTTGGCAGGGGTGGCTTGGTGCCGCCTCCCTGCTCCCTGCTTCCTGCTCCTGCTCACTTAACCCACCGAATGGCCAACTGATTGACTCGGCTCCTCCACTCCCGATCCCCCGTTGGCCCACTGTTCCCGCTTTGATAGCCTGCTGCAAATTAGCAATGTTCATGTGGTCCACTCTCGGACTCCTGTCCCCGCCATCTCCCATTTGGAATTGAAGCTTTTGGCCAGTGCCGAAAAATTGGCCAGCGCAATTAATTAAAAACTTTTCTGCAAAATGCAATAGGACGGCGCTTGTGTGGCTTTAGGTTCGCTTGGATTCACTGCGATAGCCGGCAAAAGCTCTAAAAATATTATTCCAGGTGCCGGGAATTTATTTTATTTTGTTTTCACCTCTCACTGCGACGCTTAATTAAAAACTGTGCATTCGCCAGGTGCTGTCAAAGAAAAATTCATATGAGTTCTGCTTTTGTTATTTTTATTTTATCACCGGATTACGGGAATTCATACATATAAAATGACTGACTATTAAATTGCGTGAGTGGCAAAAAGTGGACAATAAATAGGGACGGGATCGGTTGGTTTGGTTGCACAACTATTGCAATCAATTTTTGACAAACATTCAATAAAAAAGCGTTTGAAAATGAATTCATAATTTTCCCAGGGCTTATTTTCACACGAGTTTTTTCTATAAAGATTAAAAAGGAAAGGTCATCAACATCCAGTCAGTATGAGTTCTTTGAAAGTTTTATGGTGCATACTTTTTCATAAAAAATAAAGTCGGTTCTTTGAAGGATTTGAGGAATTCCATTTTACATTAGGCATACGCCACGTGGGACAGCAATTAAAGCAGCAATATAGACCAACAAATGCTGTACATTTTAAATACATTTTTCTTTTTTTGTCTATGAGTGAAATTGTATCCTCTGCCTGCTCCGCTGCCTGCTTACCGATTTCTCCCTGCTCTGGGCTGTAATTTTCATAAAAATTATGCAGATTAAATGTGGCAGCCAAGTTTGTTTAGCCAGGCAAGTGACATTAAACTCGCATAAGGCGCATCAGCAGAGACAACAAAGATGTCTAAATAATAAAGGCAACCTGAGCTGTTTTGGGACGGCGCACAAGTTGATTGAATAAATCACAGCAGGTAAATTTCTCTTGAAACAGCTCTCGACATGCGTGAGAACCGGCTGACAGACTGAAGAAGCGGTATCCTGAGCCGCAAAACTTTAACGAACAGTCGAAAAAATTACGACAAAGCTTTGATTTTATATTATATTTATATTGTTGATGAATTGAAGAAACTTCAGCTACCTCCATGGAATATAGTATAAATATTTAAAGGTGGCTTAACAACCAAAACAATAGCTCTGAACTGTTTTATAAGAAGTGTTGCAGTGTTGCAGGATATTGGAGATCATTTCAGGTCCCTTGGGACAAAACTTTCTTAGGTCAAAAAGACCTTAGCTTAGGGTATTGCGGTTTTCTCAGTGCACGTACATAAGAAATGAAACCGACTGACACGAAAAATGTATTGCCCAGGAGCAGGCTCTCCTGCGGATGAGGAGGTTATGTACGTGGGTGGTGGTGGTGGACGAGTGCGCTGTAAAGTTTCGCCATTTACAGCCCGGCAACAATTTGGCCAAGTAGCTGCCAAGCACCAGAGATAACTCAGACATAAGGCCGCAGGAGCTGGGATCTGGGAGCTGGAAGCTGGGAGCTGGGAGCTGGGCATTTGATGGCCCATTATGCCAACAGTGTGTAACAATTTTGTGAAATAAAAGGAAGCCCGCAGGGAATCGAATTAGTTTGCATTTATATTTGATGTTTGGCCGGGAGAAGCATACATTTTCGCGCTGACGACTCGCCTTCAACCTCGGCGGCTCTTTAAATATTTTCTACAATTAATTGCATGTCGCTGTGGGCTAATTAAACGGCTCCAGGCCAGAACTAATTTACATGATCTCGAGTCGCGACATGCAAACATATGGTCGGTGCCCGGTTATTCCGCATGGAGAATTTTCCCACCTGCAAGGTGTGCGAAGTTCACTCGGCAATTAGCATTTTCTATGACCAATTTCAACGGTGTCGACTGCCACGTCACTGGCAGGTCCTTGGGGGTACCCCCTTTGTGGATTCCAACATTCACATTCAATAAATGCAAAATGCGAGGCAATTACCATTGAGGATATTTCTGTCTCTAATTGCTCATGTACGTCGGTCGAAGGTCAACGTTGACGTACAAGTCCTCCTCAATGAGAAATCGCACAATGACAGCCACCTGAAAACGTGCCAGGAAGTAACAATAGGTTTAATATGTGTGGTGGTGGTGGGTGCCAATTGTAATCCTTAAAGAACATTTTGAAAATTGTTTAATTAATTTAATTTACAGGAACAGGTTCTACGAATGTCATTTTTTAATTAAAGTCATCTGTTTAATGACTCTTGGTAATACTCCAATGTAATCTATAAAAATCTATTTAATCTAGCATGGCGGAAGCCACAAGAAAATATTGAATTTGCTGAGCAACAATTATTGGTTCTGTCGAAAATCAATGTTGCACGCACAACAGTCTTAATGCTCACTAATGCTCATTGTTTATCGATATCGCCCTAAGATGATTTTGTACCGGGTATAAAAATAGTTTTTGTATATTATGAATACATCTGTCTTGCTCTTAGACATACATTCTTTAACATATACAAAGTTTTCATTTGGTTGGAATGAACTTTTATCTGTCGTGTTAACCTTTCCCCGACTCCTGCTACGGCCTTGAGCTAATTGCAAGTAAAAGTACGTTTCGTGTAAAACTTGACTTTTGTATTTCCAAATATTTGCCAACTTCGCCGAGCGTTGTTTCAGAGGCTATTTGGAAAGTCAATTAGGCATTTAGACAGTTAATTAGGAGACACGCCCAACCAGACACCTTAGTTGAAAAAGGGGAAGACTTTTAAAAACTCATTAATGCATAAATTTAGGGGCGCTTAAAAAGCAGTGCGCCAAGGCTGGAGCAGCTCATAAGCAGTTTGATTCCGGATTAGAATCCCGGAGCCCAGTCGATGGCCAGCCTTCAGTTCCACGGAAACGTCGATGCGGACATCAGATACGATGGGGCCTTGGATCCGGCTCGGGACTCCGACCTGTTCCGGCTGCTCACGAGCCTGCAGCTGGCCATGGGAATGGTGCCGTCGCCTAGGCTGCCCAAGTGGTGGCCACACTGGCTGAGATCCGGCGGGAGACTGTTGGCCAGGGCCTACTGCTCGATGGTAATATTCACATCGCTGCACCTGGGCGTGCTCTTCACCAAAACGACGCTGGACGTCCTTCCGACGGGGGAGCTGCAGGGCATAACCGACGCCTTGACCATGACAATCATTTATTTCTTCACCGGCTACGGCACCATCTACTGGTGCATTCGGTCGAAGCGTCTGCTGGCGTACATGGAGCACATCAATCGGGAGTACCGGCACCATTCCCTTGCCGGCGTTACCTTCGTAAGTAGCCATGCCGCCTTCCGGAAGTCCAGAACCTTCACAACCGTGTGGATTATGGCCTGCCTGCTGGGCGTCATCTCCTGGGGCGTCTCGCCCCTGATCCTGGGCATTCGGACGCTACCGCTGCTCTGCTGGTATCCCTTCGACGCCATGGCCCCCGTAACCTACACGGCGGTGTATGCCACCCAGCTCTTTGGCCAGATTCTGGTGGGCGTCACTTTCGGCTTCGGGGGATCGCTGTTCGTGACTCTAAGTCTGCTGCTCCTCGGCCAGTTCGATGTGCTCTACTGCAGCCTGAAGAACCTGGATGCCCATGCCAGGCTACTCTCCGGGGACTCTGCGAAGGATCTAAGGTAAGAGGCTTACTGTGGGCTCAAGTAAGTTCTTCATCTTCGGCGATACTTTAGTTTGCTCCAAAGGGAGCTATTGCTGGAGGACTCTACCCGGGAGCTAAACCAATATGCCGTACTGACGGAGCACCCAACCGATTTGCCGAATCTTTGTGCGGGACGACTCAGTCCCAGTCAGGGTGATGCATTCCACGATGCCTTGGTGGAGTGCGTGCGCCTCCACCGCTTCATACTCCACTGCTCCATGGAGCTGGAGGACTTGTTCAGCCCGTACTGTCTGGTCAAGTCCCTGCAGATCACCTTCCAGCTGTGCCTGCTGGTCTTCGTAGGCGTGTCCGGGACGCGCGAGGTGCTGCGTATCGTAAACCAGTTGCAATATCTGGGACTGACCCTCTTCGAGCTCCTGATGTTCACCTACTGCGGTGAGCTGCTGAGCCGGCACAGCGTCCGGTCCGGGGACGCCTTCTGGAGGGGCAGTTGGTGGAAGCACGCCCACCACATCCGCCAGGACATCCTCATCTTTCTCGTCAATAGTCGTCGCGCTGTTTATGTGACTGCGGGAAAGTTTTATGTGATGGACGTGAATCGTCTGAGATCGGTAGAAAGCTAGAACAACAATATAACTTATATTATATAAGTGAAATTTAAAAATGATTTTCCACAGGTGATTACACAAGCCTTCAGCTTTCTGACTTTGCTGCAAAAACTGGCGGCCAAGAAGACCGACACGGATCTTTAAGCTGGAACCGCATTCGTTCACATTGTTTGTTCACGTTGGTATTTATTCTGCACATTAAAAACAAGTCGAGTAAAATGCAAATAATATTTGTGTTTCCGCGTCTTATTGTTTGCTTAACATTTAACAATTTGGAGCACCGGGGGAGATGACGTGGAACCTGTCTCCAGCTCGCCCGCGAGCCGAAAAGACGGCTCTAAGTCCCATGTCTCTTTTGCCTTTGGCGTGTCACTGATAAAAAGACCTTTTTCCAAGAATGTGGGGGGAGTTTCCGTCTCGAATATTTTGGTAGTTATTCAACAAGGCACGAGTTGGATGCCCTACCCTGGACACTTTGTGTACTATTTAATAATGAACTACAAGCCTGTAAAGTCAATAGTAAACCTATGGGAATCCTCTTGCTTATATTTCATGCTTTTAAAAGGGCATTAAATTGTGAATGACAATCTTCGCATCTTACTGGAAATATCAAATTAAATTCGTTACTTGAATTACTCATTTTGTTTAATCAAATATTCAAAATGTCCAGCTATAATGACAGCAACAAATCTGCATAAGAAGAGCTACAAAGATATTTCCCATGGCGGAATCGTGGATTAAGCTAATGTACCCACTCAAAAATGGAAGCACTGCCATGTCTGCGCGTATCTGTTGGGCAAAGTTCTCAGATTGTGGAAGAGCCTAAAAGTCGGCTTTAATTTTGCGATTGCACGTTGTACACACGAACTTATGGCAAAGTTTTCAACTCATTTGCGCTTTGCATTTCTCATTGTGTCACAGACACAAATACATACCTACACATGAGGGGAAAAGTTTTCCTTCTTGCCTGGGTGACTTGCCCAACTTTGGATCTGGGACTTGGAATGGGAATGGGAAGTGCCTTGGAATAGGTCTACCCATTTCCCCATTGCAACGTGAGTATTTATAGAGACTCATTTGTTTCATTTTTTGCCGCCTACATTGGGCGCTGCGCTGGGTGATTACCTTTTTGTTCCCTCGTATTGTTGTGCTTTTTGTGCTTTCGCTTGGCTCGGTTTCGTTGCGGAAATGCCTTTCACTTTTTCCACTTCCGCTTCCACGTCCCTTTCATGCTAACTACCTTTATGCGTGTCTGCCGGAGCCAGCAGGATATTTATATTACATCATATTTGATAAGCGCAGTGCTCAGTTGAGCTTTGCTCCTGTCGACAAATGTCCTGGCCATATTTCTCCACCAGATTCCAGTTGCTGGCATGGCAACCGTCCTAAAGCTCTGCAGAACCTTGCCAGCCAAGGGCTTTGGGGCACATCGCCGCCAAAGTGGACAGCTATCATGGGATTAGCATTTGAATTGCGAAAATAATGCATTCAATGGCCACTGCATTTGCAAAGAACCACCAACGGAGACTTAAGCTAGGACAATGATCAGATTAATCAAACCATCCAGAACTATTGCAAATATATGTTCCCAAGCCCTAACAGTGAGCTTACACAAGAAAAAATTGAATGTTTAATTAATTAGGTGCGTATAGTTGTAATTACAAAACTTATTATGATCGATTTTGTATACGGACTTTCCGGAGAGTACAAGGGTATTAAGGAGAATGTATGTAAAAGGTAGAAGAGAACAAATCCAATCATATAGTGACATATACTCCCGATCAGCATCACTATCCGAGTCGATTTAGCAACAAACAACAGAAATCAGAGACTATAAGAGCTAGTGGTACAAAATTTGGTGACCACATTCAAATCTTTTGCACACATATTATGATTAACTTTAAATTCCAGCATGCTATTCCGCTTCCAAAAATCATACACAACCGGATTTCAAAAATATATTTAAATAATATTCTGTGAAAAGTAAACTGAAGTCGAATAATAAATTTTTTTTTGTTTTCGTTTTAGAGACATTTTGTCTCTTTATCTCTTAGTCATTTTTTTACACAGGTATGTAGTATTAAAGTTGGAGAGAATTATACGACTCCATCACAGAACGAGCAGAAAAGAATAAGGAAACAATTATTGGCCAGATTTTTCAACAACTTAAACAGTATACTTTGAGTTATAGCCATTTTCCATGATTTGAAAATGTTGGTTATACTTATACTATATTATATATAAATCGGGTACCTATAGCTACTTTAGGATCGATTAATACATTTTAAACCTATCTTTCTCGTCGGTGAAACTAAAATTGTAAAAAGTGAAAACAAAACAAAACAAAATATTTAAATACATATTTTTTTAATGTTTAATTGAGTGGTAACATGCAATGGACCCAAATATCTTTCAAAACCATTAACCATTTATATATATATAACGGTCAATGATCAGCGGATATTTCATAGTAGAGCACATTCAAGAGTATCTTTCCTACTTGATTAAAGAATACTTGGTTTAGATAAAAAAGAGATGGATCAATATGGACGACTACTTGCAAGCATTTTTACACGGTTATTTCAGATTCTTTAATCTTCAGCTTGATTGATTTTAGTAGTTCTTAAGTCCTGAGAGCCAATGAAAATATATTTTTATTATAAAACTAATTCAATTTCCAACACAACCTTTAACTGAGTGTATTAAAGTTGAGCGGATGAATGAAAACAAAATTTCCTCCCAGTTCCATCGAGCGTGTCCAGTTGATGTTGCCGTTCTCGTTCGTTTTCCCGTTCCCATTCCCTTAGTGTCCTGTCAGAGTCCTGGCAGTGGGCCAATGAAAACTGTGTAGAGGGCCCGCATAGCATTGACAGGATCTAGCCGCAGGCATTGCTGTCAATATCCCTCCAAATTCTCCCACCGCCCAGTGGCTGCCAACTTTGAAGTAGTCTTCTAAAATTAAATTAACACAAAGGCATGCCGTGTCAACTTTTTCAGCAGTCAGCTGGCGGTATTTTAATTGAAAGCAATCAATATGAGGCCCCGGCAGCGGCATGTCACCTCGCATTGCTGAAAAGCCCAAGGAAAATAAGAGGAGCTGTCGGGGTTCAAAAGAATTTATGATTATTGAATAGCATAACAGTGATTTGGAATTTGGTTTTTCCTACAATTAAATCAATTGAAACAAAATGTATATATACATATGTATATATTATATTAGGTATGTATTGAATATTAAATTAAATATTCTTACACCAGCCCAAAAATGGCTGCGAGTTTAAGTAGAATCTAGAGAATAGAAAACTGACAAGCTAGTTTTTGTCATCCGAGGCATTATAAATTCCTTTTTGCTATCCGACCTGAGCTGAGATCAAATGAACCCAGATTCAATTCACACCTCTGAAAGGGCCAGACAGACACCTGTCGAAATGATGTTTCGTCATCCACTCGGTGGGCGGTAATCTAATCAGGACACCCCGCCCCCAGCTGGTCTGGTGTCAAAGAGCCCGGCTATTGTTGGGTAATTTCATTATTACTCCATATTACATTTGCATGCTGTTCCCTTCATCTAGGCGGGTAATGGAATGTGCTTCGGAATTTCAAACATAATTGCCTTTGGATTGTGCAACATGTCGCATTCGCAGTGTCGGTCCCCAAACAAAAAGGTAAATATGGTTTCGTCCTTGTTCGTACATGTGTACGTACGTGTACGTACGTGTGCGTGTATGTGAATTTGGGCTTTGTCGAGATGTCACATAAATTGCATGCGATTCAGTCTGTGGGCTTCGGCCTGCGGTCTGGACAAAGGAACGCCCCGACGATATGTTCACACAGGGAAAGCAAAGCAAAGCCGCATATAATTTGCCATTAGCAAAGCCACCTGGGTGGTGAGTGGAAATCCTTGTTAATGGCTTCTTCGTTACCTGTTCACCTAGGCTTGTCAGAGACGCATTCAAATGCAAGCATTCAATTAGACGCCGGCAGCGTTTCTCCTTTCGATCGAATAACCATCTCTTTCAATATTTATAATGGGGACGTAAAATGGTATAAAACGGCTACCTTTAAAGTGGTCTAAAATTGGGGATACTTTTTCATTGAATGATTTTATTTTGAATACCCTAATGGGAACTCATTTTGCAAATTAAATTGCAAAAAGGACATTAAATATATAAATACCTTGAAGAGGTTACATATAATACGAAAGTTGTTATGATTTCGAATGAAACAAATTAATAACTGCTTAAAATGAAAAAAATTAGGCAGTTAAGTAAATATTGATTTACAATTATTATCTTCCCAAATAATGAAAGAAGAGATCCCTCCAGAGGAAGGGAAGATTCTCGATTGAAGACTGTCGTTACAACTAAAATATATATATTTTGTATCATTGATTATTTCGCGTAATTGAATAGAAATTGGCAACGGAAAGGACGCTGAAGGCCTTTCAACCTGCTCATATTGCATTATGCTCTGGCAACGACTTGGTACTCGATCCTGGTGAGGCCATCAAGCAACTATCGTCTGTGGACAAGCGCGTGGTGAGTGGTTGGGCGGGATTTGTGGCGCAAAGCGGCTTTAAAATGTTGCAAAATTGCATGGCACTTTGAGAAACGGCAGGGCATTGCGATTCAGCCTTTTGTGCTGATGCAAAGAGCCAATCGAAATGGCCATGAAGAGCGCAACAAGCGACAGGGAACAGCATCTGGGCCATAAATCAATGCAATCAATGCCCACAGTTTCATGGCAGGTGGCTCGGTTTGCCGTTTCCCAGAGACACGAATACATGCATACAGACACTCGATTGTGTGTCCATTTGGTAAAAAGCCAAGGACAAATGGGAATCTGCAGCCACTGAGCCTTTCATACCCTGCAATTGCATAGAGACTACAATCTGCTGGCAGTCGAACATAAAGACGGCGAAATCCTATTACACAATCAGCCCTCGCATTCAGAATAAGTGGTCTGCACGCTGAACTCTAGCTGCAACAAGGAATTGGATCTAGTTTATGGAAAATAGTCTTGGCATTTCCTATTATCCTTAAGGAAGTAAAAGGGGACATTTGCAAAAGTATGTCAGTGGCTTTTCTGGATTTTAGTTAAATTTAAAATAAGATATTCGTATCTGTATCTTTTGGTGTTGCATT